AAAGCCGCATGTTCATCATGCGGACACCGGCGGCTATGCCCTCTTCAGGAAGATGGCTGCGACAGAGGAATTGCGATGATTCATGGGAAGTCGTAATACTGATGGCAGGTCGACCGAGAAGAGATATTCTTCACAGAACCATCGCAGTCGATGGGAAGTTTTGCGATGCATGAGAGTTGAGTAGACATGCTCAAGGGAACAGATTGCCTTGGAGACGGAATATGAGGTCCAAGGCGATTAAAAAGCGAAGACGAGGTAGCAGGTCGTTGCAGATATTGAGAAGCATACAGGTGGGTTGTGAATTGGTAGATATCGGGCGTTGACGAGATGTTGAACAAATCGACTTGATGAATGTGGAAACAGTCCGGTGGGCATGAACATGCACTGTACATCGCCTGGTTTAGCTCAAGTTCATGATGAAAAGGAGGAAAATGTTTGGGAATTGAAAATGATAGTTTCTTTCATTATAGATATCTAGATGGGATGTCTCCCCGCTATACCAGACTCAAAGACCCAGTCCCATAATGAAATGGGGTCGAGTTCGAGACCAGATGGGGGACGGCCAATACAACAGCATTGGCCGGTTGTGTTTCATCTTGCTTCATTGTCCACACTTGCTCGTCCTTGTGCATTTTGCGGCGACGGCAAGCTCTAGCTTATGTAGGAGCGTTGTGTTTCTATATAAAAGGAAGGGGTGGGTAAATGATCCAATATCGCAAACGAACTGTGATCCAGGCATTGAAAGGCTCTGTCAGCTAGCGCCACACATTAATGGGCTATCGAGCAGGCCAGACAATAGCTGACAGGACCGGTGAAGAAGAGAATATACTTCTCAATCATTCTTCATGTGTAATTCATGGAGGTTTGGAAACCCCCGTAGGCATAGGGAGATGCGGGTGGAACTGGAAAAAACTCGACTTTTAAAGTGGCTGTAGATCACATGATCCAGTGGTTTCTTCCCGATATTCTAGGCATCCACGGCACAGTAGCGATTGGCCTATCATTGGTGCCTGGTAATTTGGGCAACTAACTCCGCGATCACCGATATTCGATAAAACAGCATCTTGCACCACCATAGCTCAAAGCATGCGCTTATATTGCTCATGGAACGCCTAATCCGATCGACGCTGAAAATAACACCGGGCAGGGTCGCCCGGTTTGCCATCAATGGCACCGGACTGTTCTGCGCATGCGCCCTCGTCTGGGAGAACATCGTGACCATACAGCTCAGCGAAGGACCCTCCATGTACCCGACCTTCAACCCGCGCGGCGACTGGCTGCTTATCTCAAGGATGAGCCGCAATGGGAAAGGGATTGAGGTCGGCGATGTTGTACGCTTTAATCACCCTACTTTTCTGGGTGTTCATGGTGCCAAGCGGGTTCTTGGAATGCCTGGGGATTTTGTTTGTCGGGATCAACCTTATAGCACTGGGGCTGGACAGCAACCGGATATGATTCAGGTATGTTCATTGTGCTGGCGAATACGCATTCTCTCCGGTTTGATTGTGTTTCTTTGAATTGGACCAGAGTATCCGCTGATTTGTGTTTTGGCTAGGTCCCCGAGGGTCATGTATTTCTAGTCGGCGACAACCTTCCCTGGTCAAGAGATTCGAGACAATTCGGCCCGGTGCCTTTGGGACTAATCAATGGCAAGATCATTGCGCGTGTGTGGCCGAAGATGGAATGGGTACGCAACACCATGCAACCTGCGGAATTGGATGATTAGGCCTTTCCGAAAGTACAACATTTGAAAAGCTATATTCAAGCATCTACACGGAGTTTGTTTGGTTAAGTGGGAAGAAACAGGATTTGGAGAAAGATTTGGATCTGCTGTGCATATTCATACATATTCAATTGTACAATACAAATTTATAACTCAAAGCGATATTGGAACAGGTGGTATAGAACGGAGTGCATCTACCGGAAGGAAGAGGGGTTTCTCCGCTTGTAAGGAAGAGGCTCAACCTTCTTCCGGCGCAGCTCAACATCGGCATCGCTGAAGCCAATCTGCTTCATGACTTGCAGTGTAGTCGCATCCCACTGGCTACGGAAAAGATGGGCGCCAATGGCCTTGAGGTGGTACCGGGCCTGGAGAGTACGCATAAGCATGTTTTCACGCTCAGTCTCCTTGGCCTTTACGGCGGCAAAGTCGAGCGGCTGGGAGTCCTTCTGCTCCATGATGAAAACAGAGAGGCGGTGGTAGGGACTACCCTTCTGGGAAACGGGTGCGGCCCAGGGAAGAACAACCTGGGAGTCTGTAGAAAGCTGGGAAAGATCGACCTTGGTGGAAATGGCCGAGATGGGTACATTGACCGCGAGGTAATGCATCTTGAAATCAAAGCTGTCGGCCTCGACATTGGGGACATCCGGATCGACAACGGCAATGGTGACAAGCTTCTCGCCGCTCTCAAACATCTGAACGTCCAATTTGGGTGCTGTGGCGCTGTCCTTTGCCAGGACAAAATCACCAGGCTGGATCTGTCGCTTTCCAAAGTAAAGCTTGGTCTCCACAACGGGATCACATTGGGGTAGAACGTCCGGGACGACGTTCATCTGTGTGATACGCTGCACCAAAATCTTGCGACGGTATTCTCGCCATTTGCGGTCGGCCAGGAAGCGGTAGATGGGTTTACTCATGTCGCCTGGATAAGGAAGAGCATTAGTTCCGGTTCTTCTCGTGTCTACTCTGACCTGCTGATTCAACATACCTTGACCATCCTCAAACTTCCGCTTCACCAATGGGTCATTGATGTCGGCCAAGATCTTGAGTTTCTCCAGATGCTGTTGCATTGCGGTCACGCGAGACTTCCGCGAAACCTCACCTCCGGCCTGTTCGACCGGCTGTGCCTGCACTCGCGCAATCTTTTGACGCATCGACTCAATTTCTTCTAATTTCTGGGCTCGATCTGCGAGAAGCACCTTTCGTGCTTCTTGGAAACATTGGTATGGCAGTTGCTCGAAAGGGAGGCCACCGGTAGTCTGCAATGCAGCACGGCGACGACGGGATCCAATGGGGGCAGTGCCCTGTCGCATCAATCGTCGTTCCAATCGAGGGCTTGACACGAGGGATGGATCGGGTGATTTATAGAATGGCTGGCTCTGTTCAGGTTGGGCGTCCGCAACCCCGGAGGTCGACTGGAAGCCGCGGGTCTGGACCTGAATGCCCGAGAGGCTTCTGGTGTAGGAATTGCGAAGGCACTGAAGCAAGGGCTTCGACGCCCGCTCACAATGAGCCATTGTGAAAGGCTTTTTGAAGGGTGTGGGGTTGGGGTTGGAAATAAAAGATGGTGTTATTATCTTCGGGGGAACATTTTCTGCTTTGCAGGCCAAGACTTCTGCTGGCGCCCACCGCCTCCCCGGCATCAACTTTTGCTCTTCCCATCCAGAGTCAGCACATTACCAAACTACACAATTAATTCGCTACAACGGCTGTCAGAATGCCTGGTTGCGAAGCCCTTCGGTCTTTGAGGCTGCTCTCGCGCACTTCAGGCGGTCTTTTGTCTGGATCCGAGAATGTCACGGTATGTGAATCGCCCACCTCATTTCGATCCGCTTTCACAGGCCGACCAAGGAGATATAGTCACTGACAAGATTCTTTATATAGCGACGATGCCTTGTTCGATCAATGGCCACAGAGGCGCAAGCCAATGTTTCCTCGACTCCCAATCTCACCCGCTCCTTGCCTGCTCCCTGGGACCTCCCTGTCTCGGTCATGACCTACAACTTCCCTTCTATGGAACCCGCTCGCTTAGTGGAATACTCCCAAAAACAACTTCAGATGCCCATGCGTAAAGATATTCTTCACCGCGCAATTGTATACGAGGGTGACATGACCCGCCAGGGTACCGCCAGTACCAAGTGGAGGGACGACGTGCACGGTAGCCACAGGAAACTCATTACACAGAAGGGATCTGGACGTGCTCGTGTCGGTGACAAGCAGTCACCGATCCGAAGGGGTGGTGGTGTTGCCCACGGTCCTCATCCTCGTGATTTCTCGACCGAATTGCCCGCCAAAGTCTACGACCAAGCCTGGCGCACAGCTCTCAGCTACCGGTTTTCGCGCGGAGAATTAATCGTTATCGACAACACGATCTCTCTTCCCCATGAATCTACACCGTTTTTGCTGCAGAACATTCTTCTGGCGAATGGCTGGAGCGCCAAGAAGGGCCGGTCTACATTTATCACAGAGAAAGTGGACGAGGAGTTGTTCGACAAGGTGTCAAAGTTGCACCGCTATGCGACTATCATGGATCGCAGTGATGTGGACGTTAAGAATCTGCTGGAGACCTCGCGGTTGATTATTGAGAAGACAGCGCTGAACAAGATCCTGAAGGACCACTCGCGGGATCTGTTGAGTCGTCCGGCAAAGGCACTCTACGTTTGAGTGGCTAGCCATGTATTGTCCCTTGTTTTGTTTCTTGTATCCTGGCCATCTGTACAAATAGAATATCAATATACTACAACTTGAGCGAATGCCAGGTTGGACTACTATACTGTCAAATGTTCACAGGGTTGAGTGTATAAGTTGGGTAACCCTGATGGTGTTTTAAGATTCATCAATATAGTTCCAAAATCATGTGCAATGAGTTGCTCTGAACTTTGAAGGACCGATGACGGCCACACTCCAAAACAGGAGGGTGATACGCCGGAATAATAGAAAGCTTTCTTGATTCAAATTAATTGCCTTGAGTATAATCAATATCACAAAGAAATAGCTAGCTAATGAAATTTCAATTCCATTGGGGGATGCCATTCTATAGTACTGCCCATGACTGGCTATCCTCCACCGCCGAGCGCTTGTCCTCGGAAGAAAATCCATTCCAAAAAACTCCCGAGGTCGACGGTAAAGCGGAGAAACAGCCGATTGCCCTCTTAATAACCTTCCTTTACCCCTCTTTGGTTCCTTTCTGCACTTCGTGTCAGTCTCTATGTTACTTCGACACTCAATCTCCCGGCTACCTTCGCCGCCGAGCTGGATCTCGCGGTTCCCATCGCCAGCAATGCCTCTACGCGCCAAGGTCATCAATCCTGCCTTCCAGGCAACTTCCTCGGTATGTACGATGTTTTCAAATAACCGAGCTCTCGAGGCTAACCGAAATAGATGTCGACTTCAGCAAACGCCATCAAAGAGCTCCCCGGAGACGAAGCCGATGACGTCCTGTTCAACTCGATTTACGGTCTTCGCAGCATTGAGCTCAATCGACCCAAGAAGCTCAACTCCCTCAATGGCTCCATGGTCCGAAAGATTCTCCCTCGTCTGCAGGTTAGTATCTACGACACAGCAAAACATACAGGGCACTAAGGAAAATCGATAGGAATGGGAAAAATCTCATTTGGCAAACATTGTTCTCATCTCCGGCGCTGGTCCCAAAGCGCTTTGCGCAGGAGGTGACGTCGCAGCATTGGCACTACAGAACGAGAAGGGAACCGAGGGACAGAAAGCATCCACCGATTTCTTTGGACTCGAATACCGCCTCGACCACTTGATCGCTACATACTCGAAGCCCGTCATTTCTTTCATGGACGGCATCACCATGGGCGGCGGCGTCGGTCTCAGCATGCACGCTCCTTTCCGAATTGCGACTGAGAGAACCCTCTTCGCTATGCCCGAGACAACTATTGGTTTCTTCCCTGATGTGGGTGGCTCCTTCTTCTTGCCGCGGTTGGACGGCGAGACCGGTACCTACCTGGCTCTGACTTCGGCGCGCCTGAACGGTGTGCAGGCTTTGAATGCTGGTATCGCCACTCACTACCTCCACTCCAGCGTTCTTGGCAGTGTCACCCAGCGTCTTTCTGAGCTGGTTTTCCCTGACAACGTTGCTCTCCCTGAGCGGTTAGACGCCGTCAACAAGACCATGGCTGAATTCTCGGTTGGGATTCCTTCGGATGAGGCCCAGGTCCTTGGTGGCCAAAACCGCCGCTCTATCGAGCGCTGCTTCGGATTCAACACGATTGAGGAGATTTTCCAGGCAGTGGAGAAGGAGAAGGAGACCAATGAGAAGTGGGCACAGGAGACCCTAGACACCCTTTCGACACGCTCCCCAACCTCTCTCAAGGTGACATTGCGTCAAATGCGCCTTGGTAAGGAATGGGACATCGCGGAGACCTTCAAGCGTGAGCACCAGATCGCCGCCAACTTCATGCGCCACCCCGATTTCGTGGAAGGCGTGAAGGCACGTTTAATGTCTAAGCCTGCTCGCCAGGCCGAGTGGCAGCCGGCTACTCTGGAGGAGGTTTCGCAAGAAACCGTTGATAGTTTCTTCGCAATTCCCGAAGGCGAGGCACCCTTGGAGCTGCTGAACAACAAAAAGTACCAGAATTACCCCCATAAGCGCTTTACTCTCCCCACCGAACAAGATATTGAACAGGTTGTGCGGAGCCAACGCATGTCCAAGACAAAGACTGTAAAGCACTTTGTTGAGCGATGGAACCAGAAGGAGGGTGTGGCTGAGAAGGTATACAGTGTGCTGGCTGAGCGGACTCAGGACGGTGAAAATGGCTTGACATGGGTATAAAGTAGGTAGATATTGTCGACAGCGTGTATTTTTTCTCTTAATTGCTCTAGTGACAGGTGGCTGGCCTGTTCATCTGTATGTATTAGACTACGGGAGTTTATCCCGGTTTTGGATATTGGAACATTTGCATTATCTTAAGAGTATCAAGTAAAACCCATATGTTTATTTACTAAGGCAACCCAAACGATCTACTACTTATTGAAATAAGGTTCTAATGCCTTTAGGAGTGTTGACATAACAACTTTTGTTTGTCAACCTTTTAACGGGGTCCTCAACCAAAAGTCAGCCCACCCGTAAATTGCCCACCCGTCACCCCACAGTTGAAGCTGAATCTTCAGTGAGCACTGGTATAAGAACGACACCCTGCAGGTGTTGGCCTTACTATACTTGGTAAGATTGCCGAAACAATAAACATGAATTCTGAACGAAGACCCTCGGAGGCCAGCCAGGTATCTTCAGATGGCTCCGTGGCCTCGTTGCCTATACTTAATGCAGCCTCACCAATTAGCTCTGCATCGGAAGTCCGGTCAGTGCTAGCTCGACTATACACATCTCATCTGCTCTCAACATGGAACTCACGAATGTTCGAATTCGGCGCCGTCCTGTTTTTAGCGTCCATATTTCCGGGCACGCTACTCTACGCTTCGGTCTATGCGCTTGTCCGGGCCTTATCTGCCATAGCCCTGTCATCTTGGCTTGGTGCGTTAGTCGACAAGTCGAATCGATTAGTCGTTGTAAGGCAGTCGATTGGTAGGTGGATTACATGCCAAATAAAATTCGAAGGCGTTGACTAACAAAGTCTAGTTTGGCAACGAGTCCCCGTTGCGATCTCTTGTTTGTGTTTCGTGGCACTCTCGGCTACGAAAAATTGGGGTGTGACCTGGATCTTGTTTGTTGTGCTGGGATTCCTTGCTTGTCTCGAGAAACTGGCAGTCACTGCGAATACAGTAGCTGTTGAGCGTGATTGGATTATCGTCATCTCTGACAGCATCAATGTGCCTCGACAAGGTAAGGAATATTTGCAACAGACACAATTCAATTCTAATTCATCGTGCAGACTTGAATGCGTCGATGAGACGGATTGATCTCTTTTGCAAGCTGATTGCACCGGTATTCATCTCTTTTGTTGATAGTTTTTCGACCCGGTTCGCTATTTGGACTGTCCTGGGTCTGAATAGCGTGTCTGTACTCGTTGAGTACGTCGCCATCGCTCAGGTATACCAATCAGTGCCGACCTTGAGGAAAGAGACAGCCTTGGGTCAGAATAGTGCCGACAGCGAGGCAAATCACGCAAACCACCGCTCGTGTCAAACAATAAGGAGCAACTTCCGCGAAAGCATAGCTCCATGGAAAGAATATTTCGCAAGCTCAGTATTCTTACCGTCATTTGCGCTTAGCTTGCTGTACATGACTGTTCTTTCATTTGGCGCAACCATGACAACATACCTGCTTCACAGCGGCTTCAATCCTTTGGAAGTCAGTTGTATGCGCATTGGCTCGGTGGTCGCCGAAGTGTCTGGCACATGGACAGCACCGATCATTATGAATCGCATAGGTCCTATCCGGTCTGGACTGTGGTTTTTGAATTGGCAATTCTGTTGCGTGGCCGGGGCGGCCCTTGCATTTGTTCTATGGGACTCGAACTCTAAGCTAGTTTCCGCAAGTTTGATTACTGGTGTTGCTCTGAGTCGGATCGGACTTTGGGGCTTCGACTTGTCGGCACAGTTTTTAGTACAGGAGGTAAGTATTTAACCCTGATCCGTGACGGGCAGAGCTAAAATGCGTCTAGAATGTCGACGAAAATTCCCGAGCCAGGTTCTCGGCAGCGGAGATGGGACTGCAAAATATTTTTGAAATGCTCTCATTTGCATCTACCATTGTGTGGTCCTCGCCTGCACAGTTTCAGTATCCGGTGATGATCAGCGCCGGAGCTGTATCAATTGCCGCCGCCTGCTTTGCGGCCTATGTGCGCAAGGAACGGGGGCACCTACTGCATCGATCAAAGTGTTTGGGAGGTGACAAGCCAGTATACAGACAGATCAGGTCCCCAGCATGAAGCTTAGAAGCTATTAAGTTCATAAATCTATAAAATGCGTGATCGTCCAGTCCATTGGAAGTGTCCCATAGATCACATCCATGGATCCAGGCACAAGGTACAGGTATGCTGTAGCTACATCATACCTAGCCCACGTGGTAGTCTGAGCGTATGCATATCACTTTAAATGATGTTAAGCGCACACGCTAGATCCTCAATAATTAATTAGCCACTGTTTTGCTCAACGGTAGTTAGTTCGGGGGTTCAAGGCTCTTGTCGGAGTTGGCCCCGAGCTCGTCATCTCGCCCACTATCGCGACTCCCGTGGAACCGCTTATTGCGGGGAAAATCCGACCAGCTTCCTGACAATACCATTGACTATGCTCCTGGTCCCAAACCTGGGACCGTTTGTCTCATCATGGAGGTACCATCACAGCGACCTCCATCTAGAGCTTCAACTCGCGCAAGACTAACCCAGGCACTCGGTTTACAGGTGCCCAGAGCCCGAGGAGCCGGTAGGTCGGGCCCTCGCCGCCGAACGGGGTGCTTGACATGCAGGGCTCGGAAAGTGCGCTGCGACGAAACAAAGCCAAGTTGCTCAAACTGCGATCGACTGCGACTGCGATGCGTTTACAAACCCCCTATTGCTCTTGGCGACTCCTGGACTTCGCCGCCTCCGCAATCAAACAATGACTTTTCCTCCGCGGCGCATCCTATACCCCAGACTTCCCCGTCACCCGCCATAAGCACAGTGTCGGCATCGGCATCAGCAGTCGCTGCTGTATCTGCGGCTGCGAATGAGTCACATCGCTCGCCAGATGTGAACTTTTTCAATACTGTGCTTCGCTCGGACGATCGCCATCGGACGATCCCAGCACTAGCTTCACCGATTCGACGACTGCCCACGGTACCAGAACCATACCCGGAGCTTGGGGGGCCGTTTGATATGCTTGGATTTATGGGAGGAATAACATCTGAGTTGGAACAAAAGCACCTCGACTTGACGAGTGGACTTGCAGGGTTCGCATCCAGTCCAGCCCCACAAACGTTACCAGTAGGTGCCGGGGGAAACAGTGGAGAAGATGGTCAGTTTGGAGACAGACCTTCGACACTTAGTCCAGATGCACAGTCCCTGTTAGCTGATGGTATGTCCATCGGTAGCGCTTCTGATGCGGCGACCACGCGCGGCAGCTGGTCTGACCCCGGCACCACCTCATATGAGGAGCAACTACTCCAGCATTTCTTGGCTAGCGATCCACCAGCAGGACTGTTTGCGCCGGTGTCTATGGAGTGGAAGTATGTCCGACCAGCGGTGCTGGCATATGGCCGAGACTTTAGTCCACTCCTGAATGCGCTGTATTGTTATGCCGACATTCACAAGGCCGCTACTGAAGGAGGGAAACGATGGCGCTGGGCGCCTACATATTATCGAGTAGCGAGCTCAGAAATTCAAGCATGCTTGCTTGGTGATGTGTCTGAGACAACTTTGATCAAAACCTTTGCGACTGTCTTTTTCTTGATGTTATCTGAAGTGGGTTACTATGTCATGATGCTTCACAAATAAGACTGACAGGATAACAGCTTTTCTCATCCCCTGAGCTATGTGCTCCAGGCACCTCATACCTCCACTCAGCTTACCTCTTATTGCAACGGTTCGACAATCGGACAAGAAACTGGACGGGTCTCGGCCATTTAATGGTGTCGTGGATTTCGCTACTGGATGTGAAATCATTAATCGCAGGGCGCGAAGGTGACCCATTGATTGAACTGGGCAATGTTACCGAACAGGGATTAAATCACAAGTCACAAGAGACGCGCGTCTCCCGAATAGCCACCAGCGAGGAACATAAAGAGGATGATGGAGCAGAAGAGCAATTCCGCAGCCCAAGCTATTTAGTGTACGAAGCAATTGTGGGCCCAGCATTCCGGTTCTTCGTGCAAGCCCAACAAGTCGTACGGCGAATCGTCTCCATCGACCTACACCACCGCAGCCGAGGAACACTCAGCGATGAATTCGAAGTCCTTCAAATCGCACATAAAGTTGGTGCGGACCTCGAAACTCTCTGGCACCGCAGGCCATCCGTGATTGATGTATACGGGCACCCAGAGGCATTAACAGACACACTATGTGCACCTGTGGCTCTCAACGTCTGTCGCACATTCCGCCAGTACGTCGCCAGTTTCTTGGCTAACTTTATCTACCTACACCGTGTTGCATTCGCCATTTATCCACGCACTGATCGTGTCAATGGCGCCGTCAACCAAATCATCCAGCTAGCAACTGTTGAATCTGCCGGTGCTGAAGATGATCGTCTTCCGGTCAGTTTCCTCTGGCCTTTGTTCATTGCAGGCTTGGAAGGCTCTATAGAGCAACGACAATGGGTCTTTCAGGAGATGCAGCGTATGGCCTCTGCTCGCGAGAATGAGTCCGCTACATCGATTGGACGTCATCCGGCTGCTGACCAAGTCCTTCTATTACTGGAAGAAATGACGCGGCGGCAGGATGCGTCACGTACTTGGGCAGATTCCCGGTGTGTACGACGGGAGCTCTTCTCGGACTTCTTCATCCTGATTTGATGTGACATGGTGTTTTTCGGGTGGAAATGTATATATTGATTTTTATCCAAGGTTGCTTGGCGTTTCTTTCAGCGAGGCTTACCCGATATCCGAGTCATATGGTGGTCATTTCTCTTCATAGATGCAGGCCCACAATGACTGCCATCAATCTTGCAATGTATGTATGCCATTCGACTTCACAATCCCAATCCGTAGGTACAGAGCTCCCCTAGAAAAGGGAGGCTCTTATATCGCAAGTTCGGACTCGCGCTGGTGTTTGTCAGGGCGTTGATACTTTCTTGGAAAATTTTAATTTAAATTTGGGCAATGGACACGAACGATTTTGATATGCATTGGAAATAAAGACCATGTGACTTTGATCGAAAAGAACCGTTCGAAGTTTGTGTGACTTTAATCGGCGTGATTGTCCAACAAATACGAAGGGAGGATCTAGCTCCATCTCGTACAGCAACGCATCTCACCCTAGTCCAAACACCACCCGAGTGTCGCATTGGTTTGCACGGGATGTTTTGTTGTCAACGGCACGATATCTCCAAATCAGGAAGGCGCGATTTTTTAGTACAATTCCAATCCTTTTTTCCTTTGGACTCATGATTCTTCCCTCCACGCAAAATAGTGACAGGAACAACAGGCCCTGGACTCTGAGCTACATTCAAAATGAGAATCCTAGAAGTTCTGCAACCTGGATTGAAAACGTTGGAAGAAATCCACGAGAACTGCGAAATGCAAACCCAGCTATCTAGCACTTGCTGCTGATAATAATAACAACCGCTTGTCATACACCGTGAATGGAAAGGATCCACAGACGTTTGTGCCTCTACAGCAATCATTTATTGTGCAACAGAGCCTTGAAATAATAGCCCGAAAGCCTCGACGGGTCTTGGGCTAACTCTTTTGAGAATTGTTTGGCTAGCAGTAGAGAATATCCTTAAGAGAGAGGCTGGCTAGAGATCTCATTGCGGTAGACAGCCAGAGTTTAGGTCGCCGTTACTGAATAAGTTACCAGTGCTGAAGCACCTGCCAGTGAAATGATGCTGTCAAGGTCGTGATTGTGGCCCGGGACTCTGGGTCTCACTCAAGCAATCATTCGGTACAACGGTCTCCCCTGTTGGTTTCACGTCAATCTCCAAACTTTATCGAGATCAGATCCACCTGCACGACTCCGCTATAACCTAGTGCCAAGCTTTTGTGCCAAGTTGATGATCTTTGGTTTACTGTGGGCCTCTCTTTGCATAACTGTCGCATTTTGCGATCCAGGGTCCTACGTTTGTTTATCCGCTCTGTAGTCATTTATTCGGATTATCTCAGAGGAAACTAATCCGTCAAGTATGTCACATGGATTAAGGGGTGAGGACCCTAGCCAGGGCTTGTGCATGGACTGCATTGGACAGGGTAAATTAAACGAGGGCCGCCCTTTTGTGTGGTCTAGACTCCAATAGCATCAGGCATGCGGAATGCTACCTGGGGTCACTGGACACTAACCCCGCATATCGCCCATAATGGAGCTTAACCTCATTAAGCCTTTCCCGGGGCCCCGACCCGTCTCGGCAGTAGAAACTGATACAAATTGACTTTTCTGGGAGTCGGAGCTGGCACTTCTCAGCCTGACATATTGCTAGTGCGGTGGAGCCCCTGAAAGCTTGAACCTGATGCCGGGGAATTATCGGCTCATGCTGCGAACAGCGAGGTTTGTTTGCTACGGGACCCCCAAGATACGTCGTTCGGGAAGGTAGGATCGCGTCTCAACCCCGCATCTCACCGGTTAAATTAGAAGAAATTTGCCGGTAACCTCGATGTCGAGGAATGCATCATTGCGTTGACTGACTTGTTGACTCTCTGCAGGGAAAGAGTGATTGGGCGGAAGAGGCGCAGAGCTGCCCTGCACTCCATTTCACAGTACCCCCATTCCCATTAATAGTCCCTTGCCTGCTGTTCTTCTTCTTTTTTTTTCTTTTTTTTTTTTTTTTTTTCTTTCTTCTTCTTGGCTACGCATTTCGATCTCAGTTCATCGCAGATTTTCCACTGACACCCATCATGTGGAATCAGCTGGGAGCGGTTCTTCTCCTTGCTGCGGTGCCGGTCTTCGGGACAAGTGACACGTCAAACCCCCTTACCCAGGGCAACGACACAGCACCAGTCAGTCAAATACGATAGCTTGGGGACTTGATATGCTGACACTACTTCTAGTGGCCTAACTCCGTCTACAAAAATGCTACCGATAGCAGTAATCCCGTCGTCGCCGCAGGCTCTAAGTCAAACCAAACTTCTCCCCCGTGGTACCCATCACCATGGGGCGAAGGACTGGGTGATTGGGAGGCGGCGTATGCCAGGGCCAGGTCAATTGTCAGCCAGATGACCCTTACGGAGAAGGTGAATCTTACAACCGGTGTTGGGTATGTCCATGTACCTATTTTTTCTCGTCGTTTTTCTGCTAGATGAACTAAATCTTATAGATGGGAACTCGAGCGATGCGTCGGTCAAAATGGCGCCGTTCCTCGGCTCGGAATTCCCAGCATGTGCATGCAGGATTCGCCCGTAGGAGTCAGGGATAGTAAGATTCCTCAATCTGCGATGATCATCTACCTATACTAACTTCCAATAGCGGATTACAATTCAGTTTTCCCGATGGGTGTCAATGTCGCAGCAACTTGGGATCGGGGCATGGCGTACACCCGTGGACAAGGAATGGGCTACGAGCACAAACACAAAGGCAGCAATGTTCAGTTGGGCCCAGTGACTGGTCCACTTGGTCGCGTACCCGAGGGCGGAAGAAATTGGGAAGGCTTTGCGCCTGATCCGGTGCTCTCGGGTGTGTTGTTTGGCGAGACCATTTCTGGAATCCAGTCGCAGAATGTCATTGCCTGCGGCAAGCACTTTATCGGCTATGAGCAAGAACATTTCCGCAGTCCAGGGAATGGGTTTCTGTACCAAGTAAATGACAGCTACAGTGCTAACCTAGACGATGTGACAATGCACGAGATGTATCTTTGGTAAGCTAAGCGATAGTCTGTTCATATGGTTGTTTATAAGAAGCTAACTTCAACAGGCCATGGATGGATGGTGTGCGCGCTGGAATGGGCTCGGTTATGTGCTCTTACAACCAAATCAACAACAGCTATGCGTGCCAAAACAGCTATGTGCTCAACAAGCTGTTGAAGGCGGAATTGGGATTCCAAGGTTTTGTCATGAGTGACTGGAGTGCGCAGATGTCTGGTGTTGCCAGTGCACTGGCTGGTCTCGATATGACCATGCCTGGCGACATAGCATTCGATTCCGGTACCTCATATTGGGGAGGCAACTTGACCGTTGCTGTTCTGAATGGCACCGTGCCCCAGTGGCGCGTAGACGATATGGCTGTTCGTATCATGGCAGCGTGGTATTACGTTGGCGCGGAAAAGAATTATGTCCCCATCAACTTTGCTTCTTGGACCCTCGACACCTATGGCTACAAGCACTACTATTCAAATGAAGGATATGGTATGATCAATGAACATGTTGACGTGCGAAACAACCACGGAGCCTTAATTCGTGAGATCGGTGCCGCGAGTGCAGTCCTGCTGAAGAATGTCGATGCACTACCATTGACAGGCAAAGAAAAGTTCACAGGGGTGTTTGGATCCGATGCAGGCCCAAATGCATATGGCCCCAATGGATGCTCCGATCGCGGATGTGATATGGGCACATTAGGCTGTGCATGGGGTAGTGGATCTGCCAATTTCCCATACTTGGTTACACCGGGCTTTGCCATTGAGAATGAGATCTATAACAATGGCAATGGAATGTACCAGGCTGTCCTCGACGACTACGCCTACTCTCAGGCTGAGTCAGTGGCCGGCCAGGCATCCGTATCTATTGTTTTTGTCAACTCCAACAGCGGTGAGGGGTATATTAGTGTTGATGGAAACATCGGCGATCGCAACAATCTCACTCTCTGGAATGACGGAGATGCTTTGATCAAAGCCGTCAGCTCAAAATGCAATAACACTATCGTGGTGATCCACAGCGTTGGCCCAGTACTTCTGGACAGCTTCGTCAACAACGAAAATGTAACAGCAATAATCTGGGCCGGTGTTCCTGGCGAGGAATCCGGAAATTCCATCGTCGATGTGCTCTACGGCAAGGTCAACCCCGGCGGCAAGTTGCCATTCACGATGGGCTCCTCACGCAAAGATTGGGGAGCAGACATCCTGTACAAGCCCAACAGCGGCGAAAGTGCCCCGCAACTCGATTTTACCGAGGGTCAATTCATCGATTATCGCGCCTTTGACAAGGGCGGCGTGAAGCCCCTCTACGAATTTGGCTACGGCCAGAGCTACACTACATTTAGTTACTCTGACATCACCATCACGAAACATAATGCTGGAAAATACACCCCTACAACAGGCTCTACATCCGCAGCTCCCGTTCTAGGCAAAGTCTCCAAAGATACATCGAAATACACATTCCCAGACGACATCACCCCAATCCCTTACTTCATCTACCCATACCTCAACTCTACATCTCTGAAGAAATCAGCCGGTGAATCGGACTACGGCGCCTCTGGCTCTATCCCTGCAAATTCACACAATGGCTCCCCGCAACCCCGTCTCCCTTCCAGTGGTGTGGGTGGAAACCCCCTGCTATGGGACGTTCTCTACACGGTAACCGCAAAGATCACCAACACTGGCAAGAGAGCCGGTGACGAGGTGGCTCAGCTGTATGTGGGACTGGGTGGACCGAATGACGCAATTAGACAGCTTCGTGGATTTGAAAGACTAAGCATCGCACCTGGAGAAACTGCTACATTCAAGGTGGATCTTACGCGACGCGATCTCTCGAATTGGGATACTGTTTCGCAGGACTGGGTTATTTCAGACTATAAGAAGACTGTTTATATTGGTGCTTCTTCACGAAATCTTCCTTTGAAGACGGTTATTTCTGGTGCTTCTACCTTCAATTAGTTCATGGGGCATTCGTTCAGATGACTCTTTGATATGGGAGAGTTGCGACCGGAAGGGATTATTGTACATAGATCCGTGAATACTAAATGAACGATTATATGTTGTTCAAAATTGTTACAGGATGGATCGAAATTGGTTTCACCACTTTAACATAGAGATTCTTCCTCGGATCCTAATCTGCAACACGCTAACCGGAGAAGTATGGCCTTATGTAGATCAATTTCGCATACTGGTTCGTATTGAAAGTCACTATCGCGTGATGAGCGTGATGAATGCTGCATAAATTATTGAAATACCCTTGTAGACGCCACCTTGGTCCCACGTGTAGCATTCGCTTTCACTCCTCCGATTATGTTTTCAAAATTACTCACAGAATTGATTATCTCTTTAGTCAGTATTTATCCTACTGATAAAATGAAGATCACTGGTAGTAATTTCGAAGCAGTCAGACCTGATAATACAGACGCGCTCGAAATCAGCTACACGTTCCGAAAGCCAAGCCGAGTTAAAACCACACGTAACGTGTTTCCCATGCGAGCCGCCATGTGCGAAACACTTAGGTAGGTAGTACAATCGATAGATCGTATACTTATATCTTAACCACCACGGATTAGTTTAGTTTCAACTATCGATAGTAAGTGGTTGGTGATTATCTCAAGTTGCATTTGACGTAATTCTAAATAAATCGAAAACTTAAATTAATGTGACATCGAAAACTATGTCACTAACTTCAAAAGAAATATATCTTAATCGCTGATTTTTGAAATGCCTTTTGAAGCTTCTCTAGATTTGGTAAATAGACTAACCATGAGCTGAGATATGTTAAGCCGAAGGTCATTGGAAGTTCATGTAGACCACCGTTGTTAGGATATGATAATATAATCTGTCGCATTTACCATATGATTTTGGGCATGGCGGCCGCTTGGGGTGGCGGCTTAGATGAGAAATACCTTAAGAAGTAAATGCCTTGACGAGAGACGAAGGAAGCCCCTCACTAGGTACCGAGTATATAAGTAAGCAAGTCGAGTCCAGGTAGATCAAGACCCTATCCATTACTGAAGATCACGGAAATTTATATAGCATAGGACTAGCATGAGACTCGCACAAGACATTAAGAGGATGAGGTTATACATGGGAAGCTCACTGGACTGACCACAGGAAGGACGAAGCTAATGCATTTCTATCCAGGAGCATGCATACCAAGGAGCATGCATACCAAGGAGCAATAGTTAATGCATCATGGCCGCTTTTATTTGATACTGTAGATCCTCAGACCCGGATACCTTCAGGATGCTCCGCCAGCTGTGGTAATCTAAGTAGTTTCTAGGCCCCACGAGTGAGTTTTTCTTAGGCTCAAGTCAATCCCGCCCCGCATATTGACCCCAACTAAGTGCTATTGAGTTGTACTGTAGAAACCTGTTAGTGCCGATCTTCGGTCGATTTTGGTTCGTCACCCTTGCGGGATAAACACGAAATTGACAAGGTATCTCTTATCCCTTGCTTGACTAGGACATACCGTTTACATAGCTGAATATTTGACCTAGACCTAGTATTTAAACCCCACCACTATCATCCGGTGTTGCCTTACCTCTTCATCCTTTCTCACATATCGTTCAAAGAAATAATCAATCCTATAAGACAACTCTCAAAGATGAAGTTCTTCGCTATATTTTCTACGATTTTTTTTGCCGCTTCCGTGGTGGCAGCACCTACGCAAGCTCGTGACCAAAGCGAACACCAAGCCGGAAAGAGACAAGTACTTGACACCCTCCTGCCCAAGAGATAACTTGAGAATATAGGCTGATGAGATGGGATATGGATAGCTTGTATGTGCTTAACCCCCTCCTGCTTGAGAAATGACTTGGGAATAGGCTAATAGAGACGGAATATGAATAGGGTGTATGTGCATGATCCTTCCTGCTTGAGAGATGACTTGGGAATAGGCTAATAGGGACGGAATATGAATAGGGTGTATGTGCATGATCCTTCCTGCTTGAGAGATGACTTGAGAATATAGGCTGATAAAAATGGGATATGGATAGCTTGTATGTGCTTTACCCCCTCCTGCTTGAGAGATGGCTTGGGAATAGGCTAATAGGGACGGAATATGGATAGGTTGTATGTGCTTAACCCTCCTGCTTGAGGGATGATTTGAGAATATAGGCTGACAGAGACGGGATATGGATAGCCTGTATGTGCTTGACCCCCTCCTGCTTAAGAGATGATTTGAGAATATAGGCTGACGGAATCGGGGTATGGATAGGCTGTATGTGATTAGCCCTTTCTGCATAAGAGATGACTTGAGAATATAGGCTGACAGAGAATGGATATGGATAGTCTGTATGTGCTTGACCCCTTCTTGCTTAAGAGATGACTTGAGAATTGGGCTAATAGAGACGGGATATGGATAGCCTGTATGTGCTTGACCTCATTCTTGAGAGATGACTTGAGAATATAGGCTAATGGAGACGGGATATGGATAGCTTGTATGTGCTTGACCCCTCCTGCTTGAGAGATGACTTGGGAATAGGCTAATAGGGACGGAATATGAATAGAGTGTATGTGCATGATCCTTCCTGCTTGAGAGATGACTTGGGAATATAGGCTAATGGAGACGGGATATGGATAGGGTGTATGTGCATGATCCTTCCTGCTTGAGAGATGACTTGAGAATATAGGCTGACAGAGACGGGATATTAATAGATTGTATGTGCTTAACCCCCTCCTGCATGAGAGATGACTTGAGGATATAGGCTAATGGAGACGGGATATGGATAGCTTGTATGTGCTTAACCCCCTCCTGCTTGAGAGATGACTTGAGAATATAAGCTAATGGAGACGGGATATGGATAGCCTGTATGTGCTTGAACCCCTCCTGCTTAAGAGATGATTTGAGAATATAGGCTGACAGAAACGGGGTATGGATAGGCTGTATGTGATTAACCCTTCCTGCATAAGATGACTTGAGAATATAGGCTAATGGAGACGGGATATGGATAGGTTGTATGTGCTTAACCCTCCTGCTTGAGAGATGACTTGAGAATACAGGCTGACAGAGACGGGATATGGATAGCCTGTATGTGCTTGACCCCCTCCTGCTTGAGAGATGATTTGAGAATATAGGCTGACAGAAATGGGGTATGGATAGGCTGTATGTAATTAACCCTTCCTGTGACTTGAGAATATAGGCTAATGGAGACGGGATATGGATAGCTTGTATGTGCTTAACCCCCTCCTGTTTGAGAGATGACTTGAGAATATAAGCTAATGAAGACGGGTTATGGATAGCCTGTATGTGCTTGACCCACTCCTGCTTGAGAGATGACTTGGGAATAGGCTAATAGGGACGGAATATGAATAGGGTGTATGTGCATGATCCTTCCTGCTTGAGAGATGACTTGAGAATATAGGCTGACAGAGACGGGATATGGATAGATTGTATGTGCTTGACCCCCTCCTGCTTGAGAGATGACTTGGGAATAGTCTAATAGGGACGGAATATGAATAGAGTGTATGTGCATGATCCTTCCTGCTTGAGAGATGACTTGGGAATATAGGCTAATGGAGACGGGATATGGATAGCTTGTATGTGCTTAACCCCTCCCATTAGGGAAATTGAGAAATGATTTATACTGACTGAATATAGTAAACACCTCCCTATGCAGGCAGGCTCTGCATATTACTGCAATATGCAACATTGCCAAAATCTTACCTAGGTTAGAACCCAAGGTACACTCTTTTATTGTCTTCCGCTCATGACTTCTCTATAGCATATTGGAGCTATACATACCTATTCTTAGAGATGCTTTACAAAGATTGGCTGCCCGTTGACATGCCTTGGATTAGGTTTTCCCTTATTTGATTAGGTTTCCCTACTCCGTTATGCGAATGCAGAGGCTTCTTCTATACACAGTGTTGCTCCATAGATCTCCGGCGTAGATTAACAGAGATTGCAGGCGTAGCATCTAACTACATCTATTACCATCAGAGCGGCCATCACGTTGCAGTTGCAACCTTGGCCAAGTTAGATTAACAAAAAGCTGCGAGGAAAATAAAATGTCTAGGGGGGAGGCCTGTGCTGAATTCCAACGTATAAGGTGTGTTCGAACGGGGACTTGGCGTGGATCTAGATATGAGCGCGCAGATGTTGTTAAAATTCCCTACCTGTTCAAGTTTTATTATTTTAGCCACACTTAAATGGGTAGCCTGCTCAGGCTCACGTCAAGGTACGTTCCAGCTTTTTCTGTTTACCACGCTACCTGCGACTTGGGCTGTTGATTACATTTTAGTGCATACAGTATCGTCTCAGCACGAAATTTAACAAAAGCAAGTAGACATAAGGGGATCATTTCGTTTTGCCAAGACAAATGGAATTCGCTGAACCGCCTGCTTGAAATATTGTCCTCGCTGTAGTTTTTATGTGGATCCGTCGGTTCAGCAAGATAGGAGGTAAAGCATGGTCATCGGTATAGGTATTAGCAGTCATCGTCCTCTTTTCAAGGCTCTAACGGATCCAACGTCAGGATAATCACGACAGTCAATTCAGCAGGTGCTTTTACCCTGTTAGATCGCCGAGTCTGTTACAAGAAGCAAACAAAGATTACCCACTAGTATTGCCTCTATAAAATTCGCTCGTGGACAGTGGCCACCGTAGGTTGCGTGGGTGACAAGCGTGGCATTTAAACTACTGCTATGTCTCCAGATGAGGAGAGCAGATGCTCGTCTATTTGGCTTGTGTCCAGGATCAAAGTTCTAGTCACCCTAAAGACCATACAGGCCAAATACAGAAGCTAGTCGAGGGCCTTTCTTTACGCCTGATTTACGCCTATACTGAATTACTGCCAAGAAAGTGGTTCAAAAACAGAATAACTGTAGTACTATAGCTATGTCTGTTCCAGAAAGAATCTCCGTGTAAAAGAGGTGAAACTAATTTCGATCCTCCCTAGACAGAAGAAACCTGGATTGGGAATGATTGTGCAATCTAAATACTGACTATGAGATGATTTATGGTAAAGGCTGGATTAACTGGCCAGGTGTCAATACAGGATGAAAGGCACTTCAGAACTTTCCAAGGATTAAGTCCTTGATTTGTGTGAAGTTGCTAAAACCGACGCATTATGGTTTCTGGATCCATAGTCTACCAGAAATATTTGGCATGAATAGAGAGAAATTTGCATGAACAGGAGTGGTAGCTCAGCGGTAGAGCGATAGATTGCAATTACCTAGCAATCATCTATAGGTCCCGTGTTCGATCCACGGCCATTCCTTTCTTTTTGTTATTCATTTCATCTCTCCCCCTTCTCTCTCTACCTTCTACCCCATCAAATCCAGCCTTCTTTTCTTCTTCTTCTTTCCTTCTATGTTTTTTTCCTTACTTTTTTTTTTTTTGTAAAAAAAAAAAAAAAAAAAGTTTAAACCGCCGTCTGGAATTGAGCCAGTCGTGAATCGGCCTTGCTTAATAACACTTATTCCTGCACCACGTCCATAACCTAGGTCACGCTTGGTATATTTGAAACCCCTTACCTAAAGTTCCTATACATACTAAACTACCTATCGTGGGGAAGTAAATAGGGTCTGCGCCTATTCTAACTATTCACCTTAGATGAGTAAGGGCTCTATTATGTCCATTTTGCTACAAGTATTACACTAAACCATAATAGACTCTTTTCACTTAACTCTTATTTCATCCCAATTATGCCCTGGCATGATGGACACTGCAGTGTTCGATCACAAGCGCTCCATGTCACATTAAGGAGGAGGGTGCCTTAGCCCTAGCAATCTGAAGCTGGGTAGCATGCTTGACGTGCCTCTCACGAATATTGGAAATCGGGTCTAGGATAGAAATATCACGAATTATGTATAAGCCTCGGAAGTTTAATATCAATACAGATAGTCCAAGGTTCGACCGTCGCATGGCTTCCCGGCCAAGGAACTAGGTATCACCGAAACCCTAGATTAAACTACTTCAACTACGAACACTCAATTTAAGGCATGTTCAGTCGTTCATATATATCTAATAATCCTAAACCCCAACAAAGAAAACCCACACCGGAAAGCTTCCCTAAGGGAAAGCACTCAAAAAGCCATAGAAACGAGATCAAAGCTGTCTCCAATTTTTGGTAATGGTCACAAGACAAACGTAATCATCTCACATATTTGTGCTCATTCGGTGCACGATAGGAACGGCACTAGGCGGCAAACTGCCCATCTCGGTAACAACCATATCCACATACTCGGCCGGGGTAACATCATACATCAGATTCAAGAGTTGCAGGTGAGAAGTCTCCTTCCAATTAGCCAGAGGCGATGGAGAAGGGATGCGGTCAGAAGCGACGGGGTCAGGAGTGGGAGCAGCAGCAGGTTTTCCACCTTTACCCTTCTTGGGATCGATAGGGGGAGCAGTGAATGCTGCCGGGTCCGGAAGACCAGTGACCTGTTGTGGAGGGTTGGCGGAAACCAGCTCGGCGGCATCGGCGATTTCATTGACAACGATACTATCGAGGGCGACACGGTCGGTAAACTTGACTGTCTCGCAGCATACAATGACGGGAACTTCGACGCCTCCAGCCCGTTCCTTGGCGGACATGGCCACTAGCGCAGTGCCGACACGGGAGTAAAGGCGGCCGTTACTGGTCATGGCGTGGGCGCCTAGGAAAACCTTTGTAGCATCCTTGATGGCGTGGCTAATACCGTGCACGAGTGAATATTGGACGTCCAGCCCAGCGTTTGCGAGGGCACGGGCGAGATTCTTGCCCTCGAATAGTGGGCGCGAATCAATGATCGAAACTCGAAATTGTTTTCCTTCGTTGTGTGCTGCGAGCAGAGTCTGCTTGACAATGGAGCTGCCGGCAAAGGTCACAATCACGTCACCGTCCTGAATCTTCTGTGCGGCACTTGCGGCAATAACTTGATCGGCGACTGTGATCTTTTCGCGGATGAAGCTGTCGATGAAGTCGCACAATGTAGCCTTGGCGGCGGACTCCGGCATGGAGGGGTCAATCCCGGCAATGGCCAACTTGAGCGCGCGAATGGCATTACCCTGGCTGATAGAGAGTGGTCGACATGTAGAGAGGTAGGTAATTTGGTGAGAGAGATGGGTTGTCATGTGGCGGGGGAGCGAAGTACCCAGTGGCGTAGTGTAGGATTCGACGACCTAATTGAATGTTAGCAAGGTTAGGTCCATTTTCCCCAGCTTTTTTAGCTAGGATATAGGATAGGATTAAACTCACTCGCTTGAAAGCAAGCATGGTAGCTACGCATCGCGCACTGCTTCCGCAGACCACATAGTCCCTCAACTGCAGACCCAATGCCAGCACTGCGGGGTGCACCTCCTTACCAGCACCAGCAATAGTGGTCCTCCGCTGTTGACCGTAGAGATGACCAAAAACAGCAACACTCTTATCCTCCTTCTTTTTCTTCTGCTCCACAGCAGCGCCAGCGCCGACTAGGGACCCACGTCGCGGAGGAAGCGCCTTTGATCCCTTCTGCGCAGCACCTCCGGCAGCATCTTTCCTCGGAGTAACAGGAGGACGAGGCTGACCAGGTGCAGGAGCTGAACCGCCCGCAGCACCAGCTCCGCCATCTCGTTCAAGTTTTTCCTTAACGCGCCGAGCAGCTTTCTCTGCCTTGGCCTTCTTTTTCAACTCAGCGGGAGTCAAGGGTTTTTCACCAGCTGCATCGGCTTCAGTGCTGGCAGATGCTGAGGCATCTTTGGCCTTTGCAGGCTTGTCTGTTTGTGCGGGGTTGGGCTTTGCGCTCTTTGCATCGCGGATGGGGAGGGTTTGCTGTGATGGGGTCTCGGTCGCGGGGCCAGACTGGGCTGGCGCATTAGCCGGCGAGGAAGTGGGCGCCGAGTCAACGGGGTCCGTCATCTTGGATGACTCAATCTCGAGTTGTGAGGGGCGTCTAGTCGAACCTTGAATCGCTTGGTGGGGAGAGAGGGTTGAGTCACGGAAAAAGAAATGATGCCATAAGCAGCCCACGGCGTGCCGCAGCCCTAGTCTCCGCATATATAGTACGAACAAGTGGGGACTATCAAGAATTATTTTTATTATAAAGGAACATGAAAAAATCTGAAGCAGAAAGCTTTGTAAAAACACTGAGATTAAATTCACTATCTCAGTCTACTAAGTTACAGCCTGGACGGAAAGTTTCAAAACATGCATCATGTCAGGACTCGTTATTCATGTCAAGGGGTCTCGCTAGAATAGAAATGGAACAGAAAAGAAACAAAGAAGGAAAGATGCCTAACATGACTGGTGTGCCCAAAACGTGGCTCCAGATGGAACAAAAAGCACTGTACCGCCAACACCATCCAACTGTATACGCCAATGAAGTCCACGAAATCTAGCGATTGTTCGGCGCAATAGCACCCAAGGCGCGTCGTTTGGGAGTCATCGACTGATCACGTCGCTGCCAACGTTCATGATCCGAAGCCAGCTTGCGTTTAAAAACACTCAAATCACCAAGGAGATCTTCCATGCGGGACTGCATCAGGTGTGCTTCACCATCGTCGTCATCCCAAGTCACCGTCTCATCGTCATCCTCATCTTCCCAGACTTCGGGCTCGGAGTCGGATGGAATAACAGGGGAACCTTCACGAGATACTGGTTCATCTTGAGGTGGTTGGTTTTCCTCTGTTAATGAAGCCAGGCTAGGTTTTTGCTGTGCCAAAGGGATGGGGGGAATGGGATTTTTGAGGCTCTCAAGGGCAAGCTTCAGGTGCATGCGTAAGGCCTCGTTCTCGGTCTGGAGCTGGCGAATCTTGCAATCGCTGACCATCTTAGTCTCTTCCATCAGGCGCTGCATCTTCTCAACCTTTTGTTGGTACTCATCAAGCTTCTCGTCCTGCATTTGAGTAGCGCGCTGGTTCTCTGTCGCTTGGCTCACACTCAGCTGCAGAGTCCGAATTGTTTCGGCCATTTCGGCGATTTGCGCGTCACGTTCTGCGGCAGAGACATGATCTTGGTTCACTCGGGCCCGAGTTCGAATGTGTTTGGCCTGGTCGGCATATCGTAATGTGGAAAGCGTTTCTTCGTAATCGGCAGGAGCAATGCATGCAATCATGGCTGTTTTCGAGTTTCCTCCCAGACTGTCCTTCAGCAGCCAGGTCAGAATAGAGTCACGGTAAGGGACTAGCTCTTTGCCCTTCCTCCCCCCGCGGGTCTTCTTTGGGTCTGCTAGAGCCGCAATGACCCGACCAAGCGTTGTGAGCGACTTATTAATATTGGAACCTTCGCGGAGTCGTTGGCCTGTTGCTTCAGTCGCTTTGGCACGCTCAGAACCTGCAAGGTCGACCAGTCGAATTCGCGCAGTACGCTCAGTTGTTTCGTCTGTTGAAAGGTCATGGTGAATCTGTTTGAGTGTAATAGTAAAAACCGCATGTGATCGAGATGATGTATCATTCATTTTAGTGCTGGCCGTGGTACGCGACATGTCGCCCTTGCGCATGAACTTCATTAACTCCGTGTAGTTCCTTGCGGTCACTTCCGTCAGGTCTTTAACATATGGGCCCTCCGATGGCGATTCTCGAATACGGAGATAATGTGGTGGGTCTGTCCGAGGCACCAAGAGATCCCGTACATGCTCATTGTAGACCTCAAAATATGACACGCGGACGTTGTAACTGATATCGGGGGATGGCGAGTCTTCAATGCGCTGGAACAAATCTTCGCAGGTACGGGGAATCAATCCTGGCTGTTCGGGTGTACCCATCATAGTGTAACTTTTGCCGGAACCTGTCTGACCATATGCAAAGATACATGTGTGGTATCCTTCAAAGTTGTGATCTAGAAACTCCTCGCCCAAACAGTTGTAAACGTCTTCCTGTTGAGCGAAATGATCGTCTTCTTCGTCATGCGACCAGAATGAATTATCGAATGTAAACGACTTGTCCTCGAGGATCTTGCCCCGCGCTTGCGATTTCGGTTTTCCGAGGTCGTCTGGGCTGGGTTTCGGTGCTGATAAGCGAGTCATTTGCGTGTGAGGGTCCATCGAGATGAGGCATTCTGCCTGGCGTTGTATCTCTGTGATCATTGATTAGAATTCTCCGTTCCAGGCGCGCCCTTCCCCGTGTCTGCACACGTACCTCTGGGGAGAAACTTCCGCACGCGCACGACGACGCGCACATTTCCTCCTCCTGCTGCCGGGGACATGACATCTTGGCGGCCGATGAGAGATACACCTTCTCGGGCGCGAAGGGAGGGACTGGAGGCGGTTGATCGTAGGGTGGCGGCGGAGGCGGATGTCGAGATCACGCTTGGCGACGTGATGCCTGTGAGGGCAGAGGAATCGGATGAAGTGGCAGACGATATCGAGCCAGGCCCGGTCTGGCCGATGTGGTGGTAGAAGCGCGGATCTAGCGCCATGTCCCTGCTGTATTCCCTCAACAACTGAACACAATCGTTGACGGCGTCGCGTCGTCGTTCGACGAAGTAATGGTACATGCAATGAATTGGGTGAAATACAAGGAAAAGGAAAGATAGAGATCAGATACAAGGGTATTGAGGTGGAAAGAGTGTGAAGAGTAAAGAAAGGAGGGGGTTGTACTGTTGCGCGTTGCTTCCTTGAGATCAATGGTTCATATCTTTGCGGGGAACTCGTTTCGGATGTAAACAAAATGTCGGTTCATGAAACGGGCATGCTGCGGAATAGCACACAACGAAAGGATTGAATTCAAACAAATTAAGAAAAGACGAAGGCGAAGATTAAATTAAGACACCAACAAAGAGTTGAGGAAATACAAGACGGTGAAGTAGAGTCCGTGGTGGGTTGCCATAGCAATGGCCACGTACTAATCTAACCTACTTTCCACTGCGATCGTCATCAACCACTATATTCATTTTGATAGTTATAACACGGTGCACAGTCTGGACCCACGATCACTCCACTTTCTAGTCATCAAAGTCCTTGGTCATAGCCTCATACACATCGACGTCATCCTTACTTTGCTTTCCAGCCGGGGAGTCGGGGACAGGGTTGCCCTCCGCGTTCATGTGTTCCCCTAGCAGTTGGGTAGGGCCCAGATCCTCTTGTTTCTCCTGTTGACCCGTCTTTGCCGTTGCCATTCGACTAGTGTTTTGTGTGCCAGTGACATTGGCGATTCCGCTGAGGCGCTGATTGTCTTGTTTTGAGGACATGATGGAATTGGTGAGAGAATTTCTGAGATCTAATAATTAATATCTGATCTTTGTCATTCTGCCCAAGTCCATCAACACGCTCTCAACCTACTCCGACTTGAACAGTACCAGAAGGGGGAGGATGGTGATACATACCAGTTATGTTTGGTTTAATCCAATTGTTATTATTTGGACGATATTCATGTTTGAAAACACTCTCCAATGTAGGCACGCGATCACCCCATATTTAATAGGTCTGGTGCTGGGGTATGGTGGCGGCATGAGATTATTATGACGACGACATTTTCCATCACCGTGTTCGCTCCCCGCACTCGCCATTCGTGTTTGGTTCTTTGTGCCACCTATTCCTTTTCTTTCTGGAAACTAGTCGAGGTTGGGCTGACCAGTCAGTGTCGACGTGACGGTTTGGTAGACTTGAGGCTTTCCATGGGTCTGCACGTTGCGCATCATGGGGTCAATTGTTGCCACTGAGCTCTGTCGTGTTTTGATCTTTCATTCGGTGATAATAACGCATCATGCGGATGCAGGCATTGTGTGGCGATAGGATCTTAATGCCCAATACTTGCATCGGATGTTTGGTCGAGGGAGCTTCTGTCCAATTGACATGCACCAGGCTGATGCCGTCACGGTACCAATCAAGCACAGTTGCCACAGCGCCATAATCTGGATAGAATCTGGGGAAGCTCATGAAGCTTCTGTTACCTGGCATTATTGCAGGCGTCAAGACAAATTATCCTCAAGTTATCATGATGAAAAAGGTACGACCTGTTGATTTGTTTTAAGAAGACATGATATCTCCAAGGAAAATGCAATTTTTAGAGTCTTCCCCCCCCCCCCCCCCCCCCCCTCTTTGTCGAATTCCAAACCTTCTCCTCTTTTCTTCGTGATTTTTTCCTTCATTCTCACCCACGGCAATGAACAGAATGCGAAGGGTCAGGGTTGACTGGGAAAGCACTGATAATCTAGAGGTCGTTGTCATGAGGACGGGCAGGGTTACCGCTTGGCCCGCCTAAAAGTACATTGGGAAGCAGGTTATCTTCCTGAGCATCCAAACAGTATAACAGCAAAACAGTCACATGAAACAAAAAGTCAAAATGTGGCTATCGGTTCGAACGGCTTAATTCTACAATTCCCGGTGTTTCAAACTTCTCCATCTCAGCCGCATGTGTCAAGATCATCGAAGGAATCTGCTAGAAATTCCTCAAGTGAGAATGGAAGTTCAAGCGAGAATGCCACATGGGTGATCCATACAGAAGAAGCCTTTTATCAATCATTGATCGACATCGGGAAACAGCCTTGATTGAACGGTGCGGACCGGCACTGGAATGTGGCGGCCGTCCAACATGTGTGCCTGCTGCAGGTTCCCCATCAGATAACTTTATTTTTGCAAAGTGAGTAGTAGGCTGAATTTTGAGGTATGCGCAGTTAGCGAAATGCAGACTTGGCAGCATTTCTGGGGAGATGATCAGTTCCAGGTTGAATGCATCGGTCGACTTCCGAGTAGCTGGAATGATCCTTGGCTGTGTCATGGCTTGAAATTTTGTCGTTCTTTAAAGGGTTGCTGCCCCTCATTCAAGACACGATATTGTGGTGTTTTCCTTTCCTATCTGAAGACGTGTAGTGGACATTATATGGAGGCTGATTGGCTTGAAGTCGTGTACATTTCTTACATTATATCTTTTTACTTTCATCTTCCAGCTATTCTCGACTGCTTTGCACGCCAAAATGACTCTCCAATTCCCAATCTTCCCTCGGGATTACTTCCAAACAAGCCCGGCAAAACAATTTCTATCTTCGATGAACAGCCCGGGCATTCTAAACCCCAAATATATCGACCAGATTTTCCAAGAGTTGAAGCCCATCAAACCAGATAACCTCATGGGAGAATGGGATGGATTCATCTTATCGACTGGTCACCCATTTGAAAGTGAACTAAAGGAGCTCAATTGGCTTGGTAATGACTTCGATTCCAAAGATGATGTGGCGCCTCTCATCGTGGCGAAAAATGGAGACCGAGTACGCTTTGAGAATTGGGGTGGTGCTTCGGTAGGTTTGTAACTGCATACCTGAATGAAATCTTGCTGATTGTTGATAGCTATGCGAGATTAAGTATCAAGGGATCGTCTCCGCAGCTTTGATTTACGATGAGCGCCCGATGATGGTGCACTACAGAGCCGTCCGGTCGAACGTGGTAGCGGGTGTGATGGAAAGTAAAAGATTTGGACAGGCTGGGAAGGTTTATTTCTACTTGAAGAAATAATGTGGATACAGTATCAAGCACCCTTAGCGACCGAAAAATAATAGAAAACCATCAAGAAATAGAGTCTCTTAGAACTCAAGTATCCTTCCAAGTTTCTTGAATCTCCTTTCCCATCTTCTCGATGGTATTCCACTCCAACCTACTCCACACCTCCGGTTTCTGAACAGCCTCCACAAAATGCTTGAAGGCCATGACTGTCTGCGCCGCCCACCGCTCCTTGCTAACCCTCCCAACACCAACCGCCAATGGAGTCAGAAGAAGTGTTTTAATACTCCCCGAATTAGCTCCCGTTGCAGATTCCTTAGCACTGGCATGACGATTATATCCCTCAACCTCACAAAGTAGACTCCAAGTGCATTTATAGACTACCTCCCGATCCCAGTTCACATTGTCAGGCTCCCGCATAGTCGGACAGATAGCCACCCAGGAGCAACCCCGCGGGTTTTCTTTCAAATCTTTGGGAAACTCGACGAGCGTACAAGAACCCGGAGGTGCGAAGCCTCGGTATTTATCATAGATGGCTAGCTGTGCTGCGCGGGTGAGAGCATGGTAGTCATGGCGTGGACTGAAAGTCATCGAGATTGCATGGTCAAAGGCGCCGTCGAGGCGACCGTAGGAATTTGCGGGCGAGACTATGAGATCGAAGGTTGTTGAGTCGGGAATGCTATTTAGGCGCTCATTTATGGTTGTGATCTTCATTTCGCTATTGGTATGGTTGGGCCAAAGATCACCCAGAGCAGTATTGAAGGCTGCTATATAGGCAGTGTCCATGCATAGAAGCAGAATTTCGGGGATGTTCGAGGTCATCTTGGCGTTGATACTTATGGGAGTTTAACGGGTTGAGGTTGAGCCTTATAGTGGAGTTGCGGGACACGTGTGACGTATAACTAAGCTTTCAACCGCCGCAGAGTAAACGCAATTCCAAATTCTCATACTAAGAAAGTTGACTTGAAGATAGGCCTGCGAGGTATGTGACAGCGCGCAAAATGATAGCAAGGTTTATTCTCAGATAAATCTCTTGTCGACTCAAAGTCTGGTGGGGATAGAGAAGAAGGAAGAGAGGTTGTAAAAGGGAAATGAAACCACGGTATCTATAGCAGTAGAATACGTTGCTGCCTATAAAATGAGCCCTCCTTGACATGTGGAGTGATATATTCATGAAAAAAAGTGAATGGAGAACACTAGGCCACTCATCCTGAGTGTATATTTTTTGAAGTCTTTGTTACGGGGATGTTGAACTTGGATATGCCTTTTATGAGAACTGCTGAATGTACACAACAGCTTTTTGAGAAAAATGGGGGCCGCCGCTGTTGGACTCGCTGCATATTTCTAGCCATGGGCTTATGATTCAGCTCGTGATGAATCTGTACATAAATATAGTGGCATATCGTTGGTCTTCATCTAGGTATATTCGTCGAGTAATTCTTGTATCCCGGTGCAGCTTAGTCAAAGCAAACCTAATGTACGATTAGAAGTAGTTATTGGTACATTATTATAAGATGTGATTAAGGTTTAATGAAATCTCTATATTCAAGGTGAAGGCAAAAGTTGTGGTTCTTCATGTCCTGTTTATCAAAATGTTAAATTTGATTCTGATCTCTGGCATTTATGTATAAATCCGAAAATTCGATTTTTGCCTCTTGCATAGATTGTGCACAGTTCAAATTCCCGAGATAGGCCGAGTATATGCATTGAAGACAATGTGCATGAAAATGGGAATATAGAATAGAGAACAACTGGGCAAAGATTGCCTGCTAGTTGCGTCCAGATGGTTACGGGTCCTCGATACCTATATCTCTCTCCTTCCTCAATGTTGCTGCCTCTGCCATATCATCCGTATGACCTCGTTCCCTGGCACGGGCTTGCTCCTGAGTTGACACATACCGCACCAGACTCTCACAAAGTCGGTCTAAAACCCATTCTGGTTCAGTTTGGTGCGCCAACATGGGGCTGTTCTCACCAATCCAGTCCCAGTTTAGGAGACCGAACTCATCTTCGTCGAGAATGAGTGTATCTTCCTTACTGGGATCCCGGCTTGATGACCCCTCGACCGAAGAGAGTTGGGACCGGGGATTGGTAAACTGGATGAGACGAGTGAACTCCACCCACTCTTCGTAATTGTACCGTTTGCGCTTTCCATCGCACACATCTTGAGTAGTGCGACGAATGGCAAATGCTAGTTGTTGGGCCATTTCAAACGGTGATGGTTGGGTCTCGCGTGCAAGTTCCTCGATGGTCCGCGTAGGATAGGCTGGGGCCGTGCTAGTACGTCGAGATGGGGCGCGTGACATCTCCTTCGTAGCCTCAGGCTCCAGGTTCTCAGGATCGGCCGTGTCCTCTGCAACAGCACCGACTTCGAATCCACGCTTCAGCCGTTTTTTCTCTTGGCGTCTATCTAGAATTCCCCGAATAAATGGTATATGAGCGAAACAATTCCGGTATGTTCCACTCTCGGGCATGATGAAATATTCAGCAAACTTCTCCGTGCCATGCTTGAAACCAGAAACAACCGTGTCACTCATCTGAGAGATGAGCATGGTCATGGTTGGGATGGCTATGAGAGACCACATCACGAAAAATGGCCGTCCAGCATTCGACGAGGGAGTGAAATCACCGTACCCAATGGTAATGAGTGAGCAGAAGCAAAAGTATAGGGCCTCAAAATAAGTCCAGTCCTCCAATGTCCAGAATACAACGGCTCCGCAGCTCCATACGATTCCAAAGACGATTATGCTGATAATTAAATCGTTCCAACGACGAAAGCGCATGGTTTCATATTGTATTCCACGCATGGCATCAAATCGATCCTTTTCTTCTCTCATAATAAGCAGCTTGGGCCGTCTGTCTGCGGCCAGTGCATGAATGGTGTTCCGGATCGGCTGGTGTTTCTTATGCCGAGGGCGATAATTGAGTTGGGTCTTTTGGCGGTCTAGTGCTGCAGGGAGTACCTTCTCGGCATTGCTTGAGGCAAACTCGTCAAAGGTGACGGACCGATCGAAAGTATGCTGCCGCCTCTGTTCGATGTGCTTTCGGACGACATTGTCGTAGTGGACCTCTCGGGCAAATTGATGAATACTTCCAACAACAAGACCAAGCATGATGATTCCAATCACGGCATACGGCCAAACAAGACCTCTGCCAAGGGACGTTTGGGCTGTCACATCACCAAAGCCCAAAGTCAAGACAGTGATATCACAGAAATACAAGGCATCTGCAAATGAGATGTCAAGTACCTTCTGGAAGAAAGCGGCGCCTATAAGCAGCCAAACTACAAACACAGTCATTTGTAAGATAAGAGTACGTTGGTCGTCAGTGAGTGCGAAATGCTGTGGATATCTCCCAAGGAAATATCCCAGCATATTTATCATGAGAAGAATACTCAGTATAAAATAGAGGATTGCCGCAATAACAGCACTCCAGAAGGCCTGAGAGTATACGTCACTGGTGCCATTGGGGGGACTGTAGATAGAAAGAGATGCGGTCAGCCCAGCCAGCTGTGGCATCGTTAGCTCGAACTATCAAAAAGCATTAAGGGTCCCCTACAAGTCCAGGAGCAATGAACCACAGAACGATCGTCACTGGCAAAGCAATGATGTAACGCACAGTTTGAGTGAAGTTCAGCAGCAGGAAAATGTTGCCAACAACACCACAAAAAAGCGAGACTGCGTTTAGAGCCGTGATCCTGCAATGTAAATCGTGAGCAATGACCAAAAAGACCCCGATAAGTTCAATACATACCAGTGGGGATCAGCATAGCCCTCTTGATACCAATTTCCAGCTGGACTAGTTGTTCTAGATGTGATATGGCTCCTCCATGGCATCACCAGCGCAACAATTGACATCACGTTAGCCAGCGGCCCCGCCGCAGCAGCAACCAGCGGAATAGCCGTAGACGCAATCCACCAGGATTGAGGTTCATCATCCTCCGGCGGTCTCATATGAAATTGGCTAGTGAAATGATTCCAGAGAGACGCTTTACCATCCTGCTGATCGCCCGTGGGGGACTCGTGTTGAGGGGGGCCATTCTGCATGGTTCATTCGGGCCTGCAAACGCGGGGTCGAAAGGAGTAGGGAGCGCGCTATTTTCCGATCTGCTCTCGGGAACGCTACAATCGAAAAGGAAGCTGAAACACCCGAGAGGAGACCCAGAGCTTTGTGATCTGAGTTTTGAGCTTAGCAGAGGTTCTCTTGCGAGTCCTTCCCCCTGTTATTCCCGATGCCTATGTCTGCCGTCTTTGTGGTTGGCTCGGTCTGAATCCTAAGATATTCAGTTGCAAGACTATACAGGCTAAAAGACAAAGAAGGATTGAGGCTATGAGGAAGCAGAAGCACGGATGAATGGCATTGTCCTGTAGGTGATGTCAACCGACATGACAGCAAAACCTTTGGGTCGATCTGCAGTCACGGGACCGTCCCCCACATGCATCCGTGAATCGAGGATATAAGTTGTGGTCAACGGAAAGTAAAAGATTGAATGAAAACAACCGGTGGAATTGAGATTGGGGATGATATAGATCGGATAGACCGGAGATATGGAGCGTAATGGTGAGAGCCAAGCCTGCTAACCTCTTCTGGGTTACCGCTCCGAGTGAGACTGGCCCTCCTCACAAGCTTTGCCTTAACAATTACCTGGGCAGCGGAATATTACATTTGAACACTCAGTGCAAGGTTTGCGTTTAATGATGCCCCTCTTAACGAGATTGCCGGAGTCTAGGCGTTGTTACTGTACATTATACTCATGTACGCGACAGGACATAAGTATTTGCACCCCATTGGATTATGTAATATTATGACGGTCCAATGCTCACGGAAATTTTGTTTAAGGGCTATGTCACCTCAGTATCAAAACACTAGGTTTAAGTAATTTCTATTAGCCTTTTAGATTCTTATAAATTTTCCCCGCTGGTTTTAGAACGCGATTCAGATAGGCCCTGAGGGTGGGATCCGAAGGGATGCAAAGTACTGTACTCATGTCCTTGTCACCATGAATCTGGACCCGCTTACGAAGGTTTCAATAGAATCCACCTAACTAGGATACAGAACGATCAAGATAACAAAACTCCGGTACTCCATACCATCTGCATTAGATCAAATCAAGAAATCATCAAGTGACACAATAAGACAATAAGCATTACACAGACTCAACGGAATCCGACACCAAACCCAACCAACCCCACCCAATAACAAGCCAGCCCCCAATCCCAAAGGATTTAAAAGTAGGAATACGCAAGCGACCATGTGCTCAGAAACCTTATCTCATGCATGCACAATCCACAAAGGAACCCCGCACCGCCGCGCCATCGGGAAAACCTTGCCCGTTCATAGGTTCGCCACGCAACCCCTCCAAAAGCAACCCACGCCCCCGCGCCACTTGGGGGCCAGTGGCAGTGGCTATCACCTGCAGGAATATGCAGGCGCTTGGCCCACGCTGTTGGAGGGTGACATCAGCCGCCGTCATTGGGATTAGGTACCTGCTTTTCGGGCTTACAAGGCGAAGTATATTCTAGATGACGGAAGTAGGTACTGCTGCAGGATGGACAGTACATGTAGGTCGAAGCGCTGGTGTAAATCGTTGCCTTTTGGGGGGAGCTGGGGGGATATCAGGTTTGGGTCTACTGGAGCTTGTATAGATTCAACTTCTCGTGGAAATAACGGTGATGGGGATCCTGGGTGTTACGGGGGCAATCTAAGCGCTGGTAATTACGAGCTACGGTACCTAGGTATGAAGGAACAATGTAGATGCTGAGGTTTTGTGGTTCAAGTTCTATATACAACCCGATTTTTCCTCCTCACTCAACATCAAACAGATATCAATGACAAAGGGAATGACCAAGGAAATTAACAGTAAACAAAGTTCGCAGATAAAAATCGCGAGATGGTATCATCAAAGCAGAATGACACAGGCATCGAACAGGAAACCGCATGACGCAACAATAATTAGCATCAGCGGATGCCAAATCAAGAATCGAAAGACGCCACCCCAAGAAAACAGACAGGCGCCGAAACCAAAGGATTCTTTTGGAGGATTGCCCCAGCTGAAGGCGTGAGAGCTGACGATGCGATAACAGAAACAGCAGAAATTCGAAAAGCCGAAGCCAAACCTAACGCACTGCAAATGCAATTCAACAACTTGTCAAATGCTCCCGATGTAAGACATAGGAAATAAGCGAGAAACAAGGAAAACAGAATATAACTTCTTCTCTGTCGGAGTTGCTCCTCTTCGGTGTATGGAGGTATAATAGTAGGACCGTCTATTTGGCGGACGGTCGGCGCAAGATATCTTCGCAGTTGGCGTCGAAACGCATATTCCACAGCCGGATGCTGTTCATCAATTTTTCCGTGTTTTCGAGTTCGCGGTCGCGGCCGAAGATTGATTCGACAAATTCACAGCCTGCATTGCGCCCCATAGATACGGGTGCGCCTTTGCCACTTTCCCTTTTAGCGGCCTTCCACATGTAAAGTTCACAACCTTTCAGCAACTTCTTAAACCGGCTCCAGAGCCGGTCGCCACTCTCCAGGAAGTCTTCAACTACTTCCTGCGCCTCGATGCACTTGATTCGCGGAAGACATTCGTCCGCTCGCTTGACCTTGCCCGCAAGTTTGATCAACAACAGCCACAAGTCACCTGCCACGTCGGCCATGGGTGTCGATGCGCCATGGTGGAAAACTGTCCAATCGTAGATCCATTTACCGAGGGAGCTGGCATCGAAGACACTGCCGAGGAGGATAATAGGTGCCTCGGTAGGGTCCCAGTTTTTGATCGAGTACCCAGGTGGAATTCCGGCCCGCTCGGCGTCTTCCTCCGTAGCGGTGGGTGGCGGTTTTGTGGCGGCGGGTGCAGGCTTAGGCTTGTTCGGCGTGCGAGTCGAGGTAGACTGGCGACGAGCACGTGACGAACGACGAGCAGACTCGATATCCTCGTTGTTAGGAACCTGATTGAAGTAAAAGTGAGAATCAGCGGCTGGGTTTGATTTGCGTTGCGCAGTTGACGCGGTGCGACGATGGCTATCTTTGGTCGTTGCCGGGGGACGGCCGGGGCGTGGTCGCTGGCTGAAGGCGTAGCGAACATCGTATGCATCGTCAACCACATCTACAAAGATGGGTCGTTTCTGCGACGAGTTGGGTCCGGTGCCGAGGCCATCCCCCGCAGGATGACCGGTCGTATGGTTGCGACGGTGTTTGGGCGGGCCCGCATAAGAAGCACTTACATGATCGTGCTTGCGCGGCGGAATGCCTTGCTCTGGCGTTGGTTCGTAGTAGGTTTGCGGGTAGCCATAGTACGACGGTTCTTTGGTGGCCGTGTAGCTGGCCTTGCGCGTGTGTCGTCGCGAAGTGCCCCGAGGGGATGTGTAGGGGTTTGCGTATTGCGAAGCGTATTGAGCGTAGTAAGGCGAGGTTGGCGGTGATTGAGAGTAGTCGTAGGTCGACCACCCCGGTGGTGGAGTAGAATAATGATACATTATCGAAGTAGCATGAGCAGCCGGTGCCCGGGTTCGCAAAGCTGAAGAAAAGTAAAAGGTTTTTCTCGGCTTGAAACGAAGTTATAGATCAGGCAACGGTGGCGAAGCGACAAAAACACCACACACACCGGAGTTAAACAAAAACAATAAAGTCAACGCACAACCAAAGAAAGACCCGAATATATTATACAACAGGGTATCGTATGCACCAGAGCAGAAAAGACGCCGATGGAGAACTGCAAATAGAAAAAGGGTTGAGTAGGACCGTCACCGTGGTACGGTTTCCGATCGGAGAGAGGAGGGTTGACAGTAGATGTGCTGAGCGTGCATTTGAACGTTATTCAGTAGAGCCGACGAGAAGGGGGCTGTATGAGACCCGTTGACTTGGATCTCGCGCTTGTTAACCAACAGGTCAAGACTTCCTGAGGAAAGTCTGTATATAGGAAAGTGGAAAAAGTGCGAGATCCACGAGTTTAGAGCCGAAGCAGGCGAGAAGAGTGGAGATGGGAAAAATTCAACCCAATATGAAAGGGAAAGCGAAGAAGAAATGGATCCTTAATTGTCAGCGCGCGACGATTACTGGGGGCGGCCAATCAGGATCCACTTGGTCGGGGCCACCGTGGAGGTTGGCGTTCTTGGGTGTGGAAATAATGCCAAAAGGACGATAAATACGGGTTTTATAGCGATATCGCGTTTCGGATTACTGTACATGTATTATTCCTGAGTATAGGGTTAGGTAGCGCCCCTTTAATATTCCTATTTATCAATATCTACATTCATGACTCTTACTTTGTCTAACCTATTGACCCATGGAACCACAAATCATAATGACTCTATCTTTTACTCCTAATCACACCCATAATCATCTCTAGGTGCTAACCCCTCAAACTAGTCCAGATGGAGACACTCGGCTTCGACATGCTAATTCGGGCACCGGCCAACTGCAGGTGCGTTTTGATTTTTTTCTTTGGTTGGTTTTGTGAGAAAAAAGACAAGGCTGAATACCAGGCAGCAAGCTGCCTTTAATTTTTAATATATCGGCAAATGATGGTGTGAAAGGGTATTGGAGGGGGGCCGCCACCAAGAATCCCGAATCTCTGAATGGCCCCATGAAGCGGAGGTGATTCATAGACATTTAGCGATCGTTAGTTGCGTCGCGTGTCAGGCCTCTGTTGGATAGCACAGGCCGCCATGTGCCAGGCTTCCAGAATCGGGCCAACTTTGATTTCTGGACACTTCATTCTGCATGAACCCATTAGCTGCACATCAGAAAGGCCGATGCCAAAGCAACCCGAATGGGTAAACCCATCCCACATTTCGATCTGGACCTGCCCAAGCGACCTGATAGTACAAATCAGAAATCCTCCGAACTGGATCCATGGTTAGCCAGCGGCTCTATCGCATCTCCCGGCTTCTTTTACGGCTCATCCCGTTTCGTTCCAATGGTTCTGTCGACCCCACTGACCCATATCGCGTTCTTGGAAACCGAAATCCACTAGGTTGCCATGGCAAAACGCATAGTATACATAAAACTGAACTCCATAAGGGTCTAAATTGACACACAGAAACCTTCACCGTTGGGCCACATCACGGACCACGCGCCCTTTACCGCCGGTCGCTGGGCAGCAACCACTTATCCTTTGGGCCAAAATGGATCAGAGGGGGAAAAAAAAAAAGAGGAGCTCTGCAGACCGCAACTTGCATATCCACCCAGTGGTAGAAGCCGAGAAAAGTCTATCATCTAGGCAGGGCTCACAAAGAATCCGCTTTGCAAAAATAGATCTGGCGATGGGTGTTGAGGCTGTGTAAAACCATGACCCTATAACCGAAACGACCTCAATCTAAAGGCACAAAAGAACTATTTGGTATGAATCAAGTAAATCAAAGAGTCAAAAGATATACTCGGTAAGTAGTATCATCATTATTTCATATTATAACGTGGAGATATGAAGTGCGACCGCATCCAAACCAAACCCTAAGCAGTCTCGCATCGAGATTGGTTCCCACACGCATCCACTTTGTTCGAACTATGACGTCCAATCCTTTCAACATCCAACTCTCGAACAAAACAATGAGTTCCAGATAGTTCTAGGTAAAAGATTACAATAAAAACCAACGTACGATGGCCAATTACCATACCCACCCAACCAACACCTTTACGTTCACGCACCAACCGAAGGGATGGAATAAACAAACCTTGAGAAACACGTTGGATCCTTACAGGCCTCATCAAGGAATTCCAGGAGCATCCTTGACGAGTCAAGGGTTATGATTTTTGTTTTTTTCCTTTTCCAAGATTTCTAGATGAGTCAACCACCTTTCGAGAAATGTCCCACCCCTTAGAGAAATCCTGCGCCACCAGTAGGCAGCGTCGATCCTGCAAAGTTGCACATGGCAAATGTACTTTTGTTCTATTAATTCGCCTTTTCAAGTCTAGTCCATAAGTACGGTCAATTCACCTGGGCACGTACTGTATTTCCCAGGCCCCAGTGAATATCCCTACCCAATATTATCAATGCAATATTTTTCTGCACATGTATACGACACTCTACATAAGAGGCTCTTCCAGGACTCTAGCACACTTACCTTGAGAATCCTATTTTTATCATTTAGCCCCTCCATCACATTCCTAGCTGAGGCGTCCTCCAGCTGTGTACATGTAAAGGGGCGAACATGGATGTAAAGGGGCCTGACCAGCCTAATCTACGTTCCCAGCTGGCTTCTTTCTAGAACAGGGTTTTAGGTCTAGGGCCGAATGAAAAAACCTAAACTGGCGGCCCGGCAGTACCAGAGAGTTACAGTGGGGCGTTGAGCGCGCCAACGGGCTGGATAAGCCGGATGCAAAGCGCATATCAGCTTCCATAACCTTGCTCGGGCGCACGGTCATCCATGCAGGACTTTCTATTTATTGATGGTTTTTGTGCGACAGGGTTGGGGGCAGTAAGCTCATTTTGCATTCTCGCTTACATTGTAGGGTAAGTTGGGTTGGGTTGGCTCTTTTCTTTTTCTTTGTTTTGCTTATATAGTTGCCTACCTGGGTATTGGGTGTGCAATCACTTCAGGGGGATGCGTGTACATAGTGTCGAAGCACGGCCATCTGTATTTTGAGACATGAAATTTATTAATTTTGTTTCGAAGCTCTTCATTGGTATGATTTTAAATATCAAAATGAGAATTCTGATGATCCAATAATCTGCCTTGTACTGAATCCGATGAATCATGTACCCCTTGCGCGATCTGAGTTGAGATCAAAACAAACCACCTGCTACTGGCATGCCTCACATGTTCTTATGTACAGCAAAGAAGAAAAAATAATAATCTATCTACTGTAATGCTCTTCATTCTTGCAATCAAGGGGTCTCACATGGAATATTCATTGTGCGGTGTGCGCGCACTGATCACACAGAGCTCAAGGGATGCCCTTACCCTGAGCCCTATGGTCAATGCTCCGAGGCGGCTGGAAAAAATAGGGGCTGGATTCTATTTCCCGTGTCTGACCAGGGTTGTGATCCCATTGAATATTGTGGCTGTTAATCCTTGATGTTGATATCAGTGCTGTATCGAATTTCGTCTCCACAAGATATATGGCGGAAAGGTTCCCGTGCCAGTCTGAAGTTAGCATGCACGTAAGTAGATTGGTTCCACTTCTTTGATGGGAAGGCCTAGGCCCTCGCTTATCAGCTACATACATATGACCCTGTTCATAATAAGGGTGTTAATTATGGTATTCTCGACCGGGCTCAGGGGAGCGTAACTGCTGCCCATACATCTTTAGCAGCCTCGTTGTAAATTGTAGAATTTATCAGTTTAAGTATCTCGCATATTCACGGATGCTTGTTCATATGATAATCTACACAGATACTGTTATATCCAAGGTTGGAAGCTTGCGCATGGCATCTATGGATCTTGTCTGGCTGTTAACCGGCTACCCAGGACTGTTTCCAATTTCATATCACATCTTTCTACATATTACATGACGAAGGGCATACTGCTGCTATAATAGACCAATGCCACCAGATGCAGTAGGCTAATATGGGACTCGATAGGAACGAGCCAGCCACGTAAGGGTATCTGCGCAGATCTCGTGACAGCATTTGAAAGACAAAGACTTCACATTTTCTATCGTAAAACCTACTTCTATCATTTGAGCTGGCATGATATCCTATAAGATACTAAGAGGAAAAGAAAAGGTTTTCAGTATATGTAAGTATATGTATGTGGAAGTGGTCTCGATAAAAAGGGCATCAACTCGTAGTGCCCTTGAGAAGATCTGTAGCTATGGTTGCGCATATCAACTGGCAAATTATCGGGCTGCAGGCTGTGGCCTGTTGAGTGTTGATTCGTCGGAATGTGTTCCTGTTTGGAATTCGACTTTCAGTCGCATGCTGCGACCTCAGCAAGGGGCCATATGAATCTTGGCTCGTCTTCCAACAAACAAATTCAACCGTTGACATTGATTTGCTTGTGTGAGTTCCAGGATCGTCAAAGGGTCAATATAAAGGAGCTTCTAGCGCTCTAGGTTAGACCGGACTCATTCTATTCATTATTGCAGTAGCCACCCTGTGATCGTCTATTTCATCACTTTCAAGATGAAGCATACTTCCATTCACACTGCTGCAGCTTTCCTTTTTTTTAACATAGCCAGTACTAGGAATTGCAGATAGGGGACGGACTATTGTGCCAGCTCGCTCCAAGCGATAGTTGGGCTTGCTCTCATAGATATTGTATGGCGCATATTGATATATTTTCTTTTGGGCAAATACTCTGATTCGTATCTTAGGGACGTTGCCACATGCCAAATCACCTATAGAAAACTGTTTAGGCACCATGAACCAGGTTTTAATCTATTGCAAAGATGCGTTTAGGACTGCTGAAGTCAAAAGGGGTGTGTAGAGCGGTGTATGGATGGCGGGGCTGGTAATAATGATTCTAAATTGGTAGGACATTTCCGAAGAACTTATCTATCTAAGAATACATTGGGGAAATTCCCCTTCACTGAAACAGTTGTTTATTGTCTTTATGTCTTGGTGCGGGGTCTTTGCCCTAACAGAATGGTTCTTCCCGTACTATTGTGCAAATGCAAAAGCATGAAGTTCACATGTTCCAAATAAGGAAAAAGGCAACCTTTCCCCTACATGCAATATATTCATATTTGACGCAATTCACCAGGTTTTGAGGTATGCATAGACATAACACCTGTGTACACTAGCTAATGGCCAGCCATTACACCTCACCCCTCTGCACCCTCCTAAACTCCTCCGCCCAAGGAAAATTCTCATACCTCGACCCATCCGGTCTCACCTGCACCGTCGAAGGCGCATAAACCCCATTCAGCATCCACGGATCCCCAGTCGCAGGGAGTGGCAGTCTCCTCAACCGCATGGGACAAAACGAATAAGTAGCAACCTCAAGCCTCCCCGTGGAACGATAAAGCCTCATGGCATCAGTGATAAAAGACCGACACTGCACGTACCAGGGCTCCAAACTCAAAAATTCCTCCCACTGCGCATAGGGCCACGGCTTCTGCATAGCAGCACTAATAACCTGGTGAACCTTGATCCCAGCCGGAAACCCATATTTGGCACAGAAAGCCCCCGAAACCGCGTCCGACATGTGTTTCTTCCAGTGCCAGACCAGCGAGAATTCAGTCGCCAGGAAGCGTTGATCAGGCCGGATACGCGGAATGACGTACTCCAGCATGATCCGATGGCCCTGTAGAGTTGGCATGTGGGGATGTAGATCCACGCCTTCGAGCTCCGGCCTTGAGGCGATGAAGTGGAGCATCCGCTCGATAGCTGGAGTTCGTTTTGCGGGGAGGTCTAGTCTGTTTAGAGCGCCCATGTATAATTTTGTCGAGGTGATGTTGTGTGTGTTGCGGAAATTGATGACCTTGTCGGCTAGCGTTTCATAGAAGATGTTTAATCTTGCATCTGCGTGGCCTTGTTGGACTTCGATGAAGGGCTCGTTTCCTATCACTAGGATATCAACCTTGCCCAGGACTAGTGGGAGTATGCGGTCCAGACACTCGAGCTCGGTGATGATTGCGGCGCTGTTCACGGCTGGAAAGCTGAGGTTGGTGTAGTTCCACTTGAGGCTGAGAATGGTGTTGTAGCCGGAATCTATGGCTCTGAAGAGAGCTTGCATGTTGGGGTCCTGGGCAGCATGCAGTGCTTCGATTTGATGCATGTCTATGAAGCCGCGGATCCACTGCGCGTTGACGCGCTCCAGCTCGCTATGGTCCACCCATGTAAGCTTTTCATTGAAATTTGCTCCTAAGGCCCCTAGGGCTGCTTTTGTAGGCCGGGGTCCCATCTCAACCTATTTCGAAATGCAATAGGTGGAGCTTGGAATGGGATTGTATATTTAAGGGTGAACACCATCGTGGAGACTTGCCGTGGACACGTAAGCTAGGTACCGCCTTCTACTCCCAGTTTGGAAATGATACTCACATTAAAATAATACTGTCTAAATGTTGAATCGTCTGGACCTATTACTAACGATGCTAGGTGCCCAGGTGTTGGGCTGCCCGCGAGAACATTGGAAAATGCCCGCTCGGAATGCACCCACACCTGCATGAAGTGGTAGATTCCAATATTATCTGTGGAGACGAGGCATTACCCAGTCGGGATGACGTCAGAAATTGATAAAATCCACGGAAAGAACTGTATTTCACATAGATCAATAGGTAAAGAAATGAACAGACGTTCTATATAGGTAAATTTAAGTGATGTGAATCGAGGTTATATATGCACGCATTCCTCGTCCCAACCTGTATGTCGCCGCTATGCGGATTAAAGCACCTTGAAAAGTCAAGATATATATAGTATCAAAGAGTGGTATCACGATCATAAAATGTGCAAAGCTCCCAAGTCGCTGATGGTTAAACACCTTTCTATTCCCAATAAAGGCAAGCCAGAATTAAAGCAGAAGCATTGCCATGATTAAGTGCCTACAAAGCACCGATTAGCTGGCAAGGATCATGCCACCATATATTCTCCACCGCCCCGTTTGGCCTGCATGACACGGGACCAGCGGAATGCCTGAGATGTAATAGAACTCGAGCTTCCATCCAGTGGAGGCGGAGGACCCAGCTCAGAGGGATAAATCGGATATGAAGAGTCTTCAGAATGCTCTGACCAGATCTTTTCCAGCAGTTCCAGACAGGAGAGGTTGTTCACAAACCCAGAATCCTTCGAGATATCCTTGCAACGGTCACGGATGGCTGCACGGTGATCCTCTTGAACACACTCTGAACCAACAATAAAGAGCGGCCAGAGAAGATAGACATCGGACTGCACAGCACGAAGACAATGCATTGCAAGGTGCACGAGGTGCTGGATACGCGGGTGCTGTGATGGCAGACTCGGCTCGGCAAGGCGTTCACAGTACAGGAGGGCTGCATGACGGAAACATTCGGAAATCTGATAGACATCCTGAAGGTTCTCAGGGGCCACATGGTATGTCACCGAGGGAACTGAGGGAGGAGAAGGGTCTGGGATGAAATTTGGAGAATCCCAAGTAGGTATTGTTGTTGCGGCAGTGGGAGGTGGGGAGGGCATTGAAGTTGAGGAGGGGGGATCGAATCGCCAGGATTCGAGACGTTGACGCAGCGAGTACCATTCAGTCCAAAAGGCAGGAGAAGATGGTTTTCTCGCTTGATCGCTACTTTGAGGTGGAGTGGGCATAGAGAATGCGTAGTCAGGCCCAGCAGAAAACCCCTGTCCAGTGGCCCCTGTGACGGTGTCCCAGCCGGGGAACAGCATGGCCGGAGGAAGGGATGTAGTAGGGACAGTGACATCAGCTGGTCGAAGTGGCTCGGTGGGCTCTTGTTCCTGACTTAGAAGGTTCAGACGCCCCAACTGGGAGATGAGCTTGAATAAGCGGCCATCGCAGCCTGCCAGATTCTCGAGGCCCCATTCTCCATCAGATATGGAGCTGATGTCCAGGCATCTTCCACGAAGCTGCACATCACGATCGTTCGTGGTAGCAGTCAATGTATCAAACCAGGAGAACATGCGGATAAACCATTTTAGGTCATCAGTCAAAACAGGAGAGTGGCGCATTCGAATCGCGAGCAATCGCGTAACACCGGCAAACTGTGACCGAAACTCGGCAACGCCCGTGTCACATCCATGAAACAGGCAGAGAACTAATAAAGTTGCCAATACCGAGTCCGATAATCTACGGCGAGGATCCGCCAAGTCGGCATTCAGAGCTTTCACTGCCATGGCTCGGTGGTGGTTTTCTTCGCGAGCGTAGCCCTCGGGGACGGAGATACCATACCGATCCTGGAATGCCTCATCGGTAAGAGCGCGATGGGCCATCGATGACATGCGCGCAGGTAAAGTTCTTTCTGTGGACAGATGGTTTCGTTCTCGTCGCTGCCGCAAGTTACTTGTTGATAACGTAGCAATAGCCTCTTGCAAGGATTCGCTCTCCTGGGCGAGACGAAGCACGTGAGTCTTGAAAGGATTTGTTGGGCTATCAAAAGCCACAATCATGGGCGCGATGACCTCGGTGAAATAGCTGATGAGATAACGAAGACGAGGGGTGCGGCCTATGGATCGTGCCAAAAGTAGTTGAGAATACGACGGTGAGTGGCCCGCATCCCACAGTATTGAATGCTCAGGGTTTGCTCTTTCATACTCCTCATCTGCATCTTCGGTTGGTGTTGTCACCTGCGGGGCCCAATTATTGGCAACGGGCCAGATTGGGCTAGCGAAAGATGTCTCCGGGCTGTATCCAGGGTATGGCATTGAAACCTCAGATCCGACACTTACTACGCTTGCCATACTTGGACTCATTCGGCTAGAAGCAACCGGCCGACTAGGCAATGGTAGTCCTGATATTGGAGGCGGTATGGCGGGTGAGTTGGTCCATGTTCGCGGGTCCGGCATGTCCATTGTCCACGGCATACTCGATGGATCCGACATATTTGACATCGCGGATGTGCGTCGTAGGTCGGAGTCCACCGGCGTTAACATCCCGGCATCCATGTGTTCGAAACTCATGCTAACCGGAGGAGCCGAGACTGGAATCGAAGCTGACGGATTCGAGACCTGAGGCTCTATTTGAGTATTTTGAGGGGGCGCCTGCTCCATTGGCTTTGTTTGCGCTGGTTTTTTTGAAGCCTCCGCTGCTGAATCCATCACCGGAAGCTTCTGGCCCCGGAGCTTTCCTCGACTCGCCACTCCCAATCCCCATGTCAACGTCGTCTTGTATCCGGAACATTCGCGGCCGAGTTCGAGGCACTGGGAGCAATACGGGCGGCGTCGGTCACACCGCGCTCCTCTTTTCGAGCAAGTGAAGCAATCATCGGGGGCGCCGCTTACGACCGTTCTCTTGCGACGTTTCCGCACCGGAGCGTTCGGGTCTGTCTTGCGGGCTTTTCCTTTGGCAGGCTCCCTCGGTTGGCCAGCTCCGCTCTCAGACATGGTGGGCGAGTAGTGCGGGAAGCACCCTCAAGGATTCCATGGGGTGTCTGCCAAAGGTCTGGCGTTGTCGGTCGTGCGGGCCTTCTCCAAGGTATATTCGGTGGGAGGTTGGAGAACTTCAACGGGGTTCCGCAAGTGGGTCTCTTTTGGCAAGTAACGGTTTATGGGGAAATTTTGGCAGATGGAAGATTAGGAGTTCGCAAACGACCCAAATAAATCAGGAAGAGGGGACAGGGAGAATAAATAGGAAGATCAGGTCAGGGAGAATGGAGATGAAAGTTTGGTGGGTAAAGAGGATCTGCCCGGTGGAGGATGATCCGCGCTCTAGGCAAATCAGCCAAATCCTGAGAAAACTCGCTTGCAATTTATCCCTCATACTACTCCACCATTGATCTACCTAGAACGCCATCGAAGGTGGATTTATATTCTTGAAACCAGAAGCTTAGAGCCCACGCCATTTCGAGTTAGTCAGATTCATTGGTGTCGGACTAATTCCCCCATTATATTAGGTTTAGTACCGACGCAATAGATCGTTCAAATGACATGAACTAGTGAACCCCCATAAACGAGTCTCAGGCACGTCGTATAATTATGTAGAAAGGGAGAAACTCAAACTTTTTTCACTTCTATTCCATCTATGTGCCTTTTGATGGTAGCACGCGAGAGAGACGATCTCCTGATGGTGTCGTTGCCAAGCATCGCGGTTGGCCCGCCGCCTTCCCTTCCTTCCTAATCTCCCTCTCCTGATGATCGGATAACAATTCTCGAATCGCTCACTGTCCCCGCCCTCCTTACGCAGAGGCCTTGTAGGCAACTGCAGGTCCTTTTAATTGCCTGAATCTTCCGTTGGGAATCGTCGATCGGCGCGCCCGTGCGCCGCTCGCTCGAACCCCCTGTGACTGGTTGTGGGCCAGCGCGACACGCGCTGAGAATCAATTCAGTCTGCCATCAACTGCTCCGGCTCTACCCGCAAGCCATCCAACATGGGGTTACTCAGGCCAGGTCGGGCCAGGTCCCTCCTCCTTGCGATGATGGCCATGATTCTAGTGTGCACGGTCTATCTCTACTGGTCACCCATTAACGCATCCTCCGCCGTCTCCGTTGTTCCGAGCACAGCCTTCGAAGTACCTATATCAGAGCGCCAGAAGGATTTTTGGAAAGCCTTCCGTCCCATACTAGAGCGTCATGATCCCAATTGTCCATCACCGCAGAAATTGGAAGATGCGGGTGCGGGCCATTTCGACCCCACGACAGACAGCCCACGGCAGGATATCACAACATTAGCGGAGGAAGATCAGACGAAAATGGGAGAGGCACATGCTAGCTTCGTTGAAGAGATAAGGGCGGCCGGAAAGGCCTTAGAGCCTGTCCACACACCTGGGAAGCGCGGTTTGGTCTCGACGGCTGGCTCGACGTACCTACCAGTTTTTGTCTCGTCAATGCGGATGCTCCGCCGGACTGGATCCACATTGCCAGTGGAAGTATTCATGAAGGATTCAGGTGAATACGAAAAGCGCATATGTAATGATGTGTTACCTGCCCTCAATGCGAAATGTTTGGTATTGGGTGATGTATTAGGAAAAGATACCATCGAGCATTATCAGCTCAAGATCTTTGCTGTACTCTTTTCCTCATTTGAAGAGATTGTTTGGATGGATGCGGACTGCTTTCCTCTAGGGAAGCCTGAAGATCTGCTGGATGCGGAACCATTTACCTCGTCTGGCTTAGTGACATGGCCTGATTTCTGGAGGTCCTCGGCATCGCCTTTGTACTACAAGATATCTCGCCAAGAGGCGCCCCCCATGACAGCCCGCCAATCATCGGAGACGGGTGTCTTCTTGGTGTCAAAAAAGACTCATTTCCTGCCACTCCTGCTTGCGGCCTACTATAATTATTATGGCCCATCCCACTACTTCCGACTGCTGTCGCAGGGGTGGACCGGGAGAAGGTGACAAGGAGACCTTCCTACAAGCTGCCACAGCGATGGGGGCACCTTTCTATGCCGTGAGTGAGCGAGTACAAGCCATCGGTCATCAGTTGGGAGAAAAGCTGGCGGGCTCGGCCATGGCCCAATCCGACCCCCGAGAAGACTATGCTCTCACCACGCAAGCTAAATGGCGGACTAAAGATCCCAAGGTGGCACCACCACCACATGTCTTCTTCATTCATGCGAATTACCCTAAATTCAACCCTGGCGATAATGTCTTTGGCACAGCGTGGGAAACTACACCCACCTTGAAGGAAGATGGCTCAGATGGCCGCGCCTGGACAGCTCCCCCCGACACAATCCGGCGGTTCGGGTATGATATTGAGAAGACTTATTGGGAAGAGATCAAGTTGGTCACATGCCGTTATGAATCTCTTTTTAAGTCGTGGGAACATAAGGCCGGCCTTTGTCAGAGAGTGGAAGACTATTGGGCTCATGTCTTCGCTGAACCACATGATGATGACCCAAAGTTCACCCTAGATGGTTGATTTATCTTCTACTGCAGCATTGCCTTCAGGCAGCATTTGAATCGTTCATGAACCAAAGGCCCGGCGCCTCGACATGACTATATTACCTGCAAACCAAAGTTCTCTTCAGGATTGGACGTATGAGTACCCACATCGCGGCAAGGTCAGTAATGGTTTTGCTAATAGAGGTTCTCCCTTCAGAGTTCACGTTCCAACGAGACCTCATGCTGCACATACTCGTTACTGAGCGTTATCATGTACTATACATTAGACATTTCCCTGCAATTCGGGTCTGCTGCACATAATACTCTATAATATACCCGATCAAAGGAGACTCCTACAAATTGCTACTTTCCAAGGTTTAACATATTGGTGGTTTAAATAATTTCGTTCTGTTCAATGCTCTCAGAACACGGAAACTAAGAATTCGTCATATCGTACAGGATAATTCCCAGCCCCATCACCAAAAGCTTTCACATCGGGCTGTGGGTATCATAACATCATAACAAGAATTTTATTTCTTGATGCCCTTCTCACGCAGGCGCTGCTCATCCTCAGCCTGCAATTCAGCATCGATCTTAGCGCCCTTTGAGGGAGCATTTCCATGGATCTTGGCCTATGAGATAATTTTATTAGATGTTCTTCCACGATGGTGACATTGCATAACTTACAGGCTTAGTAGGGTCCTGCTTGCTCAATTCAGCCTCCTGGTTCTGTTCATTATTGTGGTGGTGCGAAGGATCGGGCTTGTGCTCCTGGGAGGCAAGCTTGTTGGCAATAGAGCGCTGGTCCTTAGAGTCCAGGTTCTTGTGGCTACCGGGCTCGCCCTCCTTGTAACGCTGACGCTCCTGGATCTCGGACTGAGGCACGTTACGCTGGTCACCGGCTTCATAAATGGCACGGTTGCCGACGCTAGATTGACCAGACATGTTGGATATTCGAAGGGTTGGTGAATATAAAAGGTTCGGAAGGGTTCGGTAGAGATCAAAAAGACAATCGAGATATTATGGTTTGTGAATCGTGAGAAAGATGGAACGGTTCAATGGGAGACTTCCGTCTTATAGTTGGCTGATTCTGCCACGAAGTATGATTTCGATGACCGGTGATGTCATGTTGGAGTCACTGAGATCATACTTGTGGGTCGAGGCCCAAACTGCTTGGAATGGGGATTTCGTACTGGAAGCTTGGTCGCGTGCGTACAGTACTGAACCATTTCTTTGCGACTTACATCAGCGTAAGCTTTAATCAAGGCAGCTTGCGTCTGTGACATCGTGATGGACCCTGTGCACGATAGGCGCTCCACTTGTATCCCCCACTATTACGTGCCCATCAAAGTCGAGGATTTTCTTTAAGCTTCTTTGTTAGTCAGTCGTCATATTTTTATTAGAATTGTATGACAGGCAGTGCTTAGATTAAACCCTTCTCTAGCTGTCGTAACCTTCTTGCCAAGGTTCTACAGTTCAATTGGCTTTGGGTTCACGATGTTGAGTTGGTCCGAAGCTACAAACAAGGCTGCCAATGTCATTTTGATATCATTTGTCATTTGCTGAATATTTCTATTCCCTTGGTCAAGTCAGAATTATGTTCTTGAGATTGTCGACGTCCACGGGTGGTTTTCATTGCTTAGTCGTAACGCAACGAAGAATGAGACTCATGCACCACGACCCGCTCCGGCTATCGGAGTCAATCATAGCGAGTTGATTATGTACCACCACACCACCAATTCACCAATACACGATGCGATCGCGTCTATCTTCCCTGTTCAAGGCCCTAGAGCATAATAAAACAACCTTCCAAAGCTCAAGTAGGATATACAACCGCTTTTACTGCCGAAGTCCCTACTCCACCGCCACAATGAGCTCCTCCGACTCTGCCGCACCAGCACCGGAAGTGCAACCCCGCTTCCAACAGCTTTTCACCGAGTTAGAAACCCGTTTTAAAGCAACTAGCCTTGGCAATGACAAGTGGTATATCCTTGCTACCTCCACTCTAGCTGCTAGCCCGGATCCCGAGCGCGCAGACCAGCTCTACTTGCACCTCATCTCTCAACCCGAGTATGCGACCTCGCCAGCTCGACAGGCTCTAGTGCGCCGTCTGCGCGAGGCACTTATCAAATCAGTCCCTATCGTTGGTGTCTGCAAGCCCATCGAGGCCATTCTGTCTATTGGCAAGATTGAGCGCGATGAGGACAAGGATTACACCTTTACGCGCGAGAATTGGCAGTGCGACGAGGCAAACCATCAGCGCGGTTCGGAATGGATGCAGAAGCTATACGCTCGCAACACCGGTGGCACTCTGAATTTGTTTGCCGCGCACCAGGACTTTAAGTGGTTATCAGAGGAGATTACCTATGGGTTGTATCTTTCGGACCGGCAGATTCTGGATGATGTGGATACGCAGCTGGTTGTATTGCCTGGAATTATGAGCCAGAACTTGCCGAATGAGACACACTGGCACATTCGGGGCACGAGACGATTGGGTTTGCCTAAGGAGGAGGTTCAGGTCATTTGGGATTGTGTTCAGCTTGTGGCCAAGTTTTTTGATGTGAAGTTGAACAAGGTGCCCACTGTCGAGTCAGTCGAACACGATGTTTAGATATAAATATTTCGAATATAGACTAAGATGTATGATGAACTTGATTCTATAGACTTCCAAGGTTGCTCAGTTGCTTAGGAGAATCTCATCCCAGCTAGCATCGACGTAGCTTAAGCCCACATACATCAATGACATAGATCCGATAACCGATAAGAGAAAAAAAGTTCAAAAGCGGCCGCGGGGCGGAGCAATGCCCAAACATCTTCAACACTCACACATTGATTCACTCCACATCATAATTATGGGAAAACGCAAGCAAGACCTTGGTGATGTGCCCATGGGCGGCACAAAAGACGAGGAATCCTCGGACGATGTGAGCGCACACCCCGCACCCTAGACCATACAGCTCCTAACCTGGCGCAGGACACTGACATGATCAATGTCGACTTCGAATGGTTCGACCCGCAACCTGCGATCGATTTCCACGGACTTAAGAACCTCCTCCGCCAGCTTTTCGACAACGATGCTCAGATCTTTGATTTGTCCGCCCTCGCCGATTTGATCCTGTCGCAGCCGACGCTCGGATCGACCGTGAAGACCGACGGCAATGAGTCGGACCCGTACGCTTTCTTGTCTGTTTTGAACCTGCAAGAGCACAAGGTACATCTATACTCTCAAATTGTGGCGCTCCTGCAGAATTAATGACTTTTTATTCTAGGACAAACCCGCCGTGCAGGAATTGATCAAATATATCACATCCAAGGCCGCTGGCAATCCCTCCCTTGCCGCGCTCAATGAGCTCGTCGCCCAAGACCTCATTCCTCCCATTGGATTGATCCTGACCGAGCGGGTCATAAACATGCCGTCTCAGGTCATCCCACCCATGTACAACATGCTTCTGGAGGAGATTGCATGGGCAATTCAGGACAAGGAACCGTATAACTTCTCGCACTACCTCATCATCTCCAAGGGCTACGAGGAGATCGAATCGAAGCTGGATCTTGAAGAGTCCCGGCCACAGAAGAAGACCAAGAAGGGTGGTGCTGCCAGCCAGCGTTTCTTCTTCCACCCCGAGGATGAGGTGCTGCAGCGCCACGCCCTGTGCTCTGGCTCATATGAGTTCACCCACAAGCAGGATGACGGCCACTCGGACTCCAAGCGCGCGTTCCAGGAGCTTGGTATTGTCACCAACGGAAGCATGATCTTGATTGAAGGGTCTAAGTTCGAGGCTACAGTCAAGGCTGTGCAGGAGTACCTGCAGTAAATGGTGTGAAGATATTCTTCATGTCATTTCATTTCATGTCCCATTTATGAGAAAATATGCTATGCAGTGTCTTTTTAATTTCTGTCTTGCCATCCTTTCCACGCTCTCCCTGTCAGCGGTATGATACTATAGACTTTATAAATAGAACCAAAAGTTCATAACGTCATGACTGAAATCACCGTCTACTCCCATTGTGTTCCCTTGAGGCGCTGCATGAGGTACTCCACCTCGACGACCTTGGTGAGTGGGATGACACACTCCTAGTGAAAAGTTAGTACTGCCCCTGTAAGCCTAAGGAGGATGGAGCCAATTCTCCAATCTCACCTTATACATAGCAACTACGGCATCAATATTGATTTTCTGACCCTTCTCTTCAGGGAAAGCAGGATCCGTGCCATAAGTCTTGGCCTTGAGTCCCAACCGCTCAAGTACCTTTTGCTCAACCTTCGCATCAGTGATGGCAGCATCGATACCCGCACGATCCTCAGCCTTAATCAAGCGTACAAAAGTCTCAGGATCTTTCTGGAACTTGGACTCCGCGACGAACTTTCCAAAGTGAATACGTCGCGACAGGGCCTGCAAGCACGAAACATCACAGGTTGCAGCGGATCCATAGTTCTCCTGTGCCTCGCCGCGGTCTTCACGACCAAGATTCGGGCACACGGCTGGCAAGATCTCGTTGATATAGCGCGTCTTGATAATATCGTTGACGTTCACATCGTTATGGTGCAGGATGTGCGGGTACTGCAGGGGTGCGAGTATGGGCTGCTCGAGCACATCGGGGAAGAAGGGATACTCGTCGGGGGATTCATAGCGGCGCACACGCGATTGCAGCCGTTCTTGCTCACGGAGGAGGTAGTCCGATAGGCTCAGGTCGCAGTTGGGGATCTTTACACCACCGGCAACGTAGATAGTCTTGTTGAGGGGGAATTGGACTCGCTCGATCAGGTGGAAGGTGATTGTGTCCTCCAGACGACTGTAGACCTGGAATGTTAGCAGCTGTCCTGACTGGTATTGTATGCTCAATGAGGCTTGTAATGGTGCTTGGATCCATCGCGGTCAAGCTATGATTATAGCGGGGTGCGCGGGGAAAAGCCATTGTCGGTATTTGGAGGATTGATATTTGGATGATCGAAGAAACATCAAGGGCTTACATGAGCTGGAAACGAATGTTGGCAAGGTCCAACGCCTTGGAGGCATCAGATAGATTAATGGCTGTGTCCATGGTTGCGAGGGGTGATATTGGGCAAGGAGAGAAAGCTAAGAATCAGCAAAGTCGGAGATGAGATTCCTCCCGGTACGTATTTTAGGCCACCCGGCTCTCTATTTATATAGGACATAATGGTATAATGCAAGGTTCAATTGAAATTCAGTTATGCGCCATGAAAAAACAAAAAGTCAAGTATCTAATAGGACGAGCATCTCTTAATAATTCGATATTCCCCCGCTACTTCAATGTTGGGGCTGGCCGGGTATTCGGTACTCGGCCAGTACGGAGCTCAGTTGTACGGGACCAACAGACATGGGAGTAGTCAGCAAGTACAGATACACAGACGCCCAAAAGCACCTTGCAGCAATCTCACTAGTCTGGATCGGCTTGCAGGACTAAGGACTCGACCCATCCAGTGCACCTGGATTGAATATAGCCTGGTTTTCAAGGGTAAAAGTACCATACGGCCCTGTACGGAATACCCGGGGAACGCGGTAAATCATCGCGTGGACACATGACGATTATCTCTCCAACCTTCCCCGAATCTCTCTCAACCACGCATGGGTCAAGGTTGAACCCCTAAGACGCCTCCTAACATGGAGAATCACCGCCGCGACGAGTCGCCGTCCGGTCTATCAGATATTGTCGAGGGCGAAGGCTTGCTCGGCACCGGATTGACGGTAGGGTTTTTTTTCCTTTCAAAGCCTTTAACCTCTAGCTGTACCCCTCCACGCCGCGGGCTAAGCTAATCTGGATGCGAATGACAGACCCGTCACATCGAAGCATTCGGGCGAAAGGTCACCACAACCGCGGGACACTTGATGGGACCGACCGACCAGAACCCAACCGCCCATTATCAAAATGCCATGACTGACATCCATCGCGAACTGCGCCGGCCAGCGGCGCAGCGGAAGGTCTTCTCTCTGACCCAGACGACCCCGACCGATCTTGTGCGATCGAGGCTGTCCACCACCGAGATCCAGTCGCGTGCCATCTCCTCCCTCCCAGATGAGCTCCTCGCCAACATCCCCGAGGACAGCAGCTCCTACTCCCTATTCCAAGGTTTCCAGGCTTCCGTTCCTGAAGAAGACCACGCACAAAAACGTCATCGCAGGCGCAGCTCGAAGAAGGCACTGAAAGATAGCGAGAAGGGCGGTGCCCTGACTGCTGGTCCAGCTGGGCTGAAAGAAGAACGGAAAGCGCTGAGTCGCCGACTGGACCTAATGGGTATCCGAAAGAACATGTGCAGCGCCGAGATTCACGAGATAGACAACAAAGTCGCCAATTTACACAAAATGCGCCAGATCGTGCTTGATAGATTAGCCGGCTTGGAGATGGATGAGGCGGCGCTGGAACATGATTGTAGGTTGAATCTCTTGGTGACGGTTACGCGACAGCATTTATTCTGACATGAATTTAGTGACGGAGCTTGATATTAAACTCGAAGACTTCCCAGAAGATACCCCCGAGACTTCCGCCACTGCGGAAACGCCCCAGACCTCCGATGCCAACGACGAATCTGTTGCGTCTTCCGGCGACCCGGCTATGGATGCCTCTTTCATGTCCGAATCTATATATGAGAAACTTCCCATATCGTCACCGAAGAGCCTGCGCCATCGATCTATACGAAAGCGCTCCATGCCAATCCTACATGAACATTTTGCTCCGGGGTCTTTAATTAAGGAGATCCAAGCTCACACCGATATGGTTACCGCGATTGATTTCGACTACCCATTCGGTACGATGGTGAGCGCTGCTTTGGACGACACCGTGCGTGTTTGGGATATGAACGTCGGTCGCTGCTCAGGATTCTTAGAAGGACACCATGCCTCTGTTCGAACTTTACAAGTCGAGGATAATATAGTGGCAACAGGATCTATGGATGCATCTGTTCGACTATGGGATCTGAGCCGTGCTCGGCCCACTACTCGGGGTAACAGCCGTCTGAACAAGCATGAGCGGGACGAAGAGGAATACTTTGAGACTCCGTCAGCTTCATCGTCCAACTTCGAAGACTGCCATGTCTTTACCCTAGATGCGCATGTTGATGAAGTCACTGCGCTCCACTTCAAGGGCAACACGCTTATTTCTGGCTCCGCTGACAAGACATTGCGTCAGTGGGATCTTGTCAAAGGTAGATGTGTTCAGACCCTGGATATCTTGTGGGCGGCTACTCAGGCCTCTACAACTACTTCAACAGATGGAAGCTGGCGACCATCTGGCCGTCTTCCAGATGCGTCTGCCGATTTCGTTGGAGCTCTGCAATGCTTTGATGCCGCTCTGGCTTGCGGAACGGCTGATGGCATGGTCCGTCTCTGGGACCTGCGTAGTGGTCAGGTTCATCGAAGTCTCGTGGGTCATACTGGCCCCGTTACATGTCTACAATTTGATGACATGCACCTGGTGACGGGTAGTCTTGATCGAAGCATTCGGGTAAGCTTTTCTACACATTTTCATCAGATCGTTGAACTAATATTTTTTAGATCTGGGATCTACGGATGGGTTCGATTTCTGACGCCTATGCGTACGAAAAACCCATAACCAGCATGATGTTCGACTCTAAGCGCATTGTGGCTGCCACCGGTGAAACTGTGGTAAAAGTATATGACAAGGCCGATGGTAACCATTGGGATTGCGGCCCTGGTGTCGGTATTGACGAGGAGGGGCCATTCCCATCTACAGTCGAGCGTGTACGCCTGAAGGATGGATATCTGGTTGAAGGTCGCAAAGACGGCACAATGGCTGCATGGACATGTTAAAGTGTCGGCATATCGTTTTCTTCCCCTCTGCCCTCCATCTTTGCATCCTTGCTCGGGGCTCCCCATCCCCCTCCCTTGCCCTCCACGCCTATTGTATAGTATTCCAACCCCCTGCCTAAAACGCTACAAGGAACGAGCTGGCGCACATGAAAGAACTATGGTATCGACTGCCTTGTACTTAGCATCGTCCCATTTTGCACACCACTTCAATCTACTTTGTTGGATTTCATCTTCTCAAATAGAGCCATAAGAATAAAAAGACGGGAAAGCGAAAGCGATCAGGATAGCTTTAAAAATAGTAATCTGAAGCAAAAGATCAGATGCTGAAACTGCGCGACAAAGACCCAGGACAAAGGCAAAGGAAAGTATCATGTCGCACTTCGGAGTCGAGGCTGAGATTCCTCGCGCTTGCACGTCCGGAATTTTTTTTTCTTTATCACCACCCCTTTACAAGAATCCGTCAATCCCACTTTTTTCTTCCACTTTGCAAAGACCTAAATTAGTTGATTTGGCTCTTATCGCGGATCATCAATAGAATATTGCTGATCTCATTCTCGGGATCCACTTGAAACCCGCAAGTCACGTTCCGTCGCGCGTCTGCGCGTCTTGACTATTGCAAAGTCTGGGGTCGCAAGCTACAAAGCCCAGCGTTCACGACCGTCGTATTTTCAAATTTAATCTGGAAAATTTGTCAACTCCCAGTAAGTATCTGAATAGTCTCGGTGATGGCTGTGCCTGGACAGTGGGATCATACTGACAAGGGAGCGCGACATCCCCAGTTACCTTCATGCCCGTGGCAGCCACACTTCACATCTTTGGCTCTGTCTTTGTTTGAGACTGGGTGAACCTGGAGCTAACCTTGCTAGGCTCGTTGATTTCTTCGGTCTGATATCCCCAGCTAGGAGAGTTTGACTGGTCTCTCGGCACAGCCTGTTTCAGACCGGATACGTCCGTTGGATTAAAGAGTAAGTGTTTATTGCCTATTGGATATTCTTGCCAATGATTTTTTTCATATGAACAAGCCCATTGTTCTGTCTGGTACTTGCATGATACCGTTTTTAATTCCTGGATCGCCCTAAAGAAGGCCTTCTCGTTACTCCCTTACATCTTCACTCATCATCTGTCTGGGAGTAAAGATTCTCCTCATTTCTTGATATCTCCGCTAGATAAGCTGAAACTCACTGCACTGGCTCGCAGACTTCAAGACGAATCATCTTCGTTAAAGCTCAATAGTCTGCTGTCGCACACTAACCTTTTTTTGAACAGATGCCTCCAAGAAAGCTTCCAAAAGGGTACGTTGAGGTTGAGGAGAGTCCATTCCAACCAATAGTCCCAAACAACCCATATTTGCCTCCCATACCAATCAAAGCCTCATTTGGCTATGGGTCGCAATTCGGGACGACCATGCCTAGGCGCTTGCCTGCACCACCACCTCAAAAGATCACCAACCTCAGACAAATTGCTGAATCCGTTAACCATGCCGTGGAAAACAGTCAACTGAGAGCTGCTACTGAAATCAACGCACAAAAGAACTCCAAAAATATGTCACAAGAAAAAGCAAAGCCTACACCAAGAAAGCGACAACCTGCTGAACCTGTTCAGCGAAGGGCAAGGCGAGAGCCGACCCCCGATGAAACTCAGCTACACCGGGCGTTGCGCGAGGCAACTATGTCGCCCAGAAAAGATGAAAGCAACCAATCTGATTCAACGCCTTCACCTCCGATTCAAAGGACTGTTTCCACAGACTCAAGTCCTGGTGCTGAGCCACCTCTCCCGCGACGGCTATCAGTCATGTCGAATTCGTCGATTAATTCTCCACTTTATCCATCACCTCTTCAACGCGGTGGACACGATACTTATGAAACAAACAGCTCAGGCCAATGGAGCCGTCAAAGCTCTGTGGATAATGCGTCTGTGGTTTCTTGGAACCTAGAGCGTGATATTCACGAGGATGATCTGAAAAGGACGAGACCAAGCACCCACGGACGCAATATCACTGCCCCTCCTCGGCGTCCTTCGGGCCTGTCTAGTATTCTTCCTAGTACGATCGACGAGGAGGAAGAGGAAGAAGAAGAGGAAGGAGAAGAGGAAGAGGGTGACGATGAGCTAATTTCAGAACATCCAAATGAGCCAGAGTCCGCGATTGAAGCCGAGCCGATGGATGAAGCTACTTCCCCTGCAGGGGGTTGGACTGCGTCAGTGCGAACAATCATTCCTCAATTCTTTCGTTCTGAGCCAAGTGTCGAACCCCCCGAGTCAGCACCCCCTGAAGACCTAGCTCGTGAATGGCACTTACCAGCTCGACCTGCCATCCGGGATGAGGACGCCAATCCCAAGGAATCTAAACGAATCCACTGGGGCCATTTAGCAATTATGCTACTATTACCCTTGGCTCTGGCCATTTCTTTCCAAATTGGGCTTTGGGAGAAGCTTGAATTACCGCATTTCCCATCCCCCGTTCAATACTCTCCTAATGCGACCGATTCAGCCGCTGTGCACGGTCTTAAAAAACAGGTTTCGAAAATGAACGAGCAGATGTCGTCCCTATCGCGCGAGCTGGTAGCTGTTCGATCAGAGCAGGCTCACGACTCAAGCCCTACCTATGCCGTAGGTGTACCGGCCGGATATGAAAGCCCGATCCATAAAATCAATTTCTTATCTCTGGCGCTGGGAGCTATCGTTGATCCGCATCAAACCACACCTACCGCGGGCCGATCATACCCATTCTACCAGCGCGCGGTTCTCACCATGCTTGGGCTTCGCTCGACTATCACTGCTTCGATGCCTCCTGTGGCCGCTCTGATTCCCTGGGAGGAAGTAGGAGACTGCTGGTGTAGTGCTCCACGCAATGGGGTGTCTCAGATTTCAGTGCTTCTGGGTCGTGACATCGTGCCAGAGGAAGTGGTCGTGGAGCATGTGCCTTCCGGTTCCACTCTAGACCCAGGAGCCGCGCCCCGAGAAATTGAAGTCTGGGCTCGATACCGTATTATCCCTCTACCCTCCCAGGGTTCTTCGTCCATCTTTTCTTGGTGGAAATCAGTCCCTCGCCGGCCAATTGAGCCCTTGTCGTCGAAAAAGGAAGGACTTGGAGGGTACAGCATCCCTGGCGAGAATTCTCTTCACGATGTACTCATGAGCTCGTTGAGTGCGACCAATATGTATGATCCCGAGAGCGCCTACTCAGACGATCCCCTGCTTGGCCCGAATTTTTACCGCATCGGGAAAATGGTATATGACATCAACAAGCACAATTATATCCAGCGATTCCATCTGAACACCATCATCGATATTCCGACTATCCGAGTGGACAAGGTGGCATTCCGGATCAAATCCAACTGGGGCTCGAACCACACGTGCATTTACCGGTTCAAGCTACATGGCCACATTTGATCATTGATATCGTTACACCATCTTATATGGCTACTATATTATTACCTGCGTTCTATTTACGTTACTCTTTATCCTCATGGAGAAGGACGAGGTGGATACGAACTTGCTTTCATGTTCTGCGGCGTGATGATACCATGCATTTGGCGTGCGACGGCGTTAGGGCACATCTCTGGGCGATAGATTTAATACCAACATTGAGTTTTCTAATGCTTTTTTTAGACTGAAAGCTATTTACGCCCAAGGTAGACTCAGGGACGCTTTGACCTGTGTGACACCTGGCGCGCCTGATGCGCTGTCCAACCTTGGAATAGATTTTGCAATAAGCGCCCACTCGCATTCAAAGCGCGTAATCAACAACATAATAATTACAAATTTCCAGCGTTTTCGCACGTACCCTGGCACATCCCTTTCCTTCCCATAATTCTAGTGACACAATGGGCCAAGCTCATTATTACTGTCATCATCGCTGGTCCAATGGACCACCTGCCGATACACCGAAATCGGAGGAAGAGGCTCTTGCTCGCATTGATGAGCTCTACAGCTCCGGCGCACCATGGTTCAGTAAAGAGACTATCCGCTCTGCTTTAGAGCAAATACAGCGTCAACCGGCCCATGGTGACAAAATTTTTGTCAAAGCCATAGACGGCGCAATGGTTGAGTATGATACCAAGTGCGGCGATATCAAGACTATGCGCGAGCCAGATGGACCCGATACAGAGTGGGTACTGTAAGTGAAGAAGAACAAGAATGCGGTTCCTATAACGCATAAATATTCTTCGCCTTGGCTTCAATTCACTGAAATCTTCATACCTAGCCAGGGACTCGCTATCTCATACCAGTGCCGAGCAAATATGCGGCACCGCATCTTCTGGGGAGGCTTCGACGAACAAGTTCCAAATCTCAACAGCGTATACATCGTGCATTCGTGTCTGATCCGCAGAAAAGATAACCATCAGCCCACTGACAACATCACCCGTCTACCGCTGGAGGTAGCCCGTGCCGATTTCGAAAAGCACCAACAAGCCTGGATCGAAACGGAGATGTGCAGGACCCTCACCAAGTTCCTGGATTCCTCCGCAGCACACCTGGAGATCAACAAGATCGTAGCCGTGTCTCTGGGATGCCTCTCCTATCAACGGGACCAGGACCAAGATAGACCCGGTCGTCAATCGTATCAGCATGCGCTTGTTCTCACACTACGTGATTGGCTGAGAAAGAAGAACGGCATGACCAAGGTGCCCTGCTACGTTCAGGATCCGGAGTACGTAGATGTGGATCGGGCTCTTCTTGCAGAACATGAAGTTGAGGTGATTGAGGATCCGATGGCGTGGTTAGAGATGGATGATTTCTCAATCGTGGTGTCTATTGCGTCAAATGTACCGACTAAAGAAATTATTACTGATGTTGCGAGACCGGCCGTGGTCATTTGGAATAAGGTCGGTGATAATGACTATGATAAGAAAGGGGAGGGTTCTTTGTAAGTGAATCCCTTGTTTATTGGTCTGAAATGATTATTTCCTGTGCTAACTTGGCATAGGACAGACCCGTGTTCTGCTCGGGTGCGGGCGTTGATGGAAGGATATGATTGTTTTGACTGGGGGGCGAGCGATGAGTATTTTGGGGATGTTTGGATGTATGTTCGGCGACCGAAGACGTTATGTCAGGAGTGAATGTGATTATCTAAATGAAGTGATTAAGCAAGGAAACCAAGTCAACAAAGCCGTAGAAGCTGATGAACGAACAGGAATCTAATCATTTGGCTTGACTACTCGGCAGTCTGACAGATACCCATTTCTGGAGACAATCCGCTTAGACTGAATTATTGCATTTGCATTGATTTACGACATCGATGTGTCCGTGATCTTATGAATGACTCGTTAATGTTGATGCCTGAAGGACAAGGCACCAAAGCATGGGCCTCGAGGTGGGCGGATTAGCAAGCGGGGGACTTGATTGAGGCTTTAAATGTGATCCTTTTGAACTTGTATATATTCTGTAGACTATAGCTCCCTCTTTTCCGGGGAAATCGTAGATAACCTTGGAAACCCCAGATGTTTCCCCACTAAAGTTCCTTTTTATTTTTTTCCCATCCCCCCTCGCACCCCACTTTGGGCCATGACGAAGGCGGAAGACACTCGGCCTCAACTCACCGGGCCCTTCCTCTCCCTCGGTCACGCGCCTTTCGTGCAGCCATCCTCGTACCTTCGCCCTCCAATGGCCCCCGAGAGACCAATCGATCGGGAAGAGCGTCAAGGCCTGGTAAGTCCCGTAAAGAATTGACCCCTCGCGCTGCATTCGTATCCCTCCTACCCCTCCGCACTCGTGTCAGCCCACATCAGATATCCCCGTACAGTTGGACTTTCTGTGAAAGATCTGACGGGGATAGGAAGGAAGAAACGGGGAGACCGGAGTTGCAAAAACCTTCGAGCTCGTGGCGGGTGACCCGCGCATCCAGATCTTGACTAACGCAGCGTCAAACAGCGTGCCATTCGCAATTTCCTGAAAGTCCGCAACAGCTACGACGTCCTCCCGTTGAGTTTCCGCCTCATTATTTTCGATACCTCCCTCTCTGTCAAAGAGAGCTTGAATATTCTCATCCAAAATGGCATGTGTCAACCATCCCCAGTCTACGACACAAACGTGAGGAAACCCACACGCGGAGAACACCCCCAGCTGACTGCGAGAGGAAATCGGGAAGTACAGGCATCGTCTCAGCCCCGTTGTGGGACTCGAAAGCTTCGAAATTCGCAGGTCTTCTGACCACTTCCGACTATATCAATGTGATTCAGTATTATTTCCAGAACCCCGCGGCTCTCGATCAAATCGACCAATTCCGGCTAGATAGCTTGCGAGGTGCGTTCCGTCCCCACTTACCCACTTGGGCTACAGAGTCGCCAGGAGATGTGCAGGCTGACCATTACTATTTGACAGATGTGGAGAAGGCATTGGGCGTTGCGCCACCTGAGACAATCTCTATTGACCCCGAACGTCCCCTTTACGAAGCATGTCGTCGCATGCTTGAGTCGCGCGCCCGTCGTATTCCCCTCGTTACCAATGACAGCCAGACAGACCGCTCCCATGTCCTCAGCGTTATTACCCAATACCGTATCTTGAAGTTCGTGGCTGTTAACGTCCCGGACACTCAGATGCTGCGCCGTCCATTGGGGGAGCTCAAGGTGGGCACATATACTAATATTGCGACAGCGTCGATGGACACGCCTGTCATTGATGTGATTCATATTCTGGTCGAGCGAAGCATTTCTAGTATGCCGATTTTGAATTCAGATGGTACGGAAGCTATTTTTTGTGGGTTCACAGTTCAATACTGATCATCACACAGGCGTTGTCTACAATGTATTCGAGTCGGTAGACGTTATTGCTCTGATCCGAGGTGGCGTCTATGATGACTTAAGTCTCACCGTGGGAGAGGTACTAAAGAAGCGATCACCGGTATGCAATTGAGCCGATCCACTTCCATGCGCAATCAGCTAAGTTTCCCAGGAATTCCCGGGTATCTACACCTGCTCACTCAACGACGGACTCGACACAATCTTCGACACGATCCGTAAATCTCGGGTCCACCGTTTAGTCGTGGTAGATGAACACTTCAAGCTCAAGGGTGTCCTCACCCTCAGTGATATTCTCCACTACATCCTGCTCGAGGGTGAAACTGACGAAGTATGATCGAGATCGGCAACCTCCCCACCGCTCTTATACATATACTCTTTTCCTGCATGATACCGGCGTTTGTTTCTTGTTCGTGTCACTAAGGACACAGCGGGCTTGAGCCCAGGTTTCTTATTATTGGCTTGACTTTTGAGATTCTCATGAATGTACAAAGGTAATCACAAGCTCTACACTGTGCACTTAAGTTGATTATTTTGATACGAAAGTCCAGTCTCGGCGCTGGAATGGACAGAATAGATTTCCCACTGAATGTCGATGATCCAAACAAATGCTCTTGATACTTAGTTGCTCTTTCCCATTCTGGTTGTATTCGACCATCATCACATTGGGGAGGTGCGAATGTATGATAGTTCCCACTTGACTTTGTGAACCCTACTGTTGTTTTCTGCAATGTTTTTCCTTGGCTCACGCTCTTCCTTGATATCCTGTGAATGACAAGCATGTCGTCCTTTCGGGCTTTGTTTCGATTGAAGCAGCGGACTAAATCCACTCTGCCTGCTACTCGCCATACTTGGCATGGACTGCGTCGCTCACCTTCCGCTGCTGCTCCCTTGACCCAAGAGCCAAGATCGACTGCGATCAGTGAAGAAGTAGTTCGAACCCCGACTGGGGAAGATGGCGACAACGATTTGGAGAGTTATCAAGATACGGATGACCAACGAGATGACTCTGTTCACGAACCACTGGAGAGACAGTCACCGGACGCACCGACACGAAACAGCAATGGCAGCGCTCGTTCTCGATCCGAGTTTCAGTGTGGATCTCAGCGCGAATCACAAGGCGGATCTGGACGCCTAAAAGTCTTCATCGCTTGGCTTCGCCTCGCCAGATCCCAAGATCGAAGCTCTGTATCAGAGCCGCTTCAATTTCAACCCACCATTCCGCTACCACAAAATGGGGCCACCGACCCGATAACAACGGATCCAGTCAAAAGAGATCGTCCGTCGCAATCATCCGATGTTGAAGTTAAGGAACAGCGGACTTCCAGCGCCCACACCGTACTTTCTCAGGAGTCGAATCATACCACCGCCACGGTGAACAGGCACCCGTCTCAGCGAATTCCCGTGCCTATCAAGGAGCTAGAAGATGATGTGTTCTGGTCGAGCTTGTTGAACTTTGAAAAAGACCATACTCACCTACCCGAACCATCGGATCCTTTCTCTGACGGGAAGAATATTGAATCCTGTCATCAACCCGGGGCATCATCAAGATATAGCGATCGCAGCCAAAGACAATCTGAGTCGTCTGCCCATTCTCAGGTCGAAGCTGAAAGGCAACCCTCTTCCAAGTTCCACACTAGTCACCAATCTATTGCCAATGCCACCCGAGTCAGCTCTATTAGCAGTCACGCCAGTCGAGGCAGTAGACTAAGCCGCGTAGACCCATCCAAAGCGTCACTTGCATTCGATGCGCTCGCTGCTCAGTTGAACTTGGCCATTTCGATCCAGGGAGACGATCTTGGCATTCCTACATGTAGGCCATCCATTCAACTTGTTGCATCTTTAGTCTGACGTTCTTTCTAGCCGAGGAAAAGCCCGAGCAAACGCGACGGCGAACTCGATTCGGCCGTATGCGCCCAACTCAGTCTAATCAGACCTTGGGAGAAGTGTCTTACACGGCCTCCAAGCTGCGACGGACTAAAACATTTGCCAACCTCGGTCACCGACCGAGTCCAATGAGCTCTCTACGAGGCAAGTCGGTTGAATTCATCGCACGGCTTGGAGGGCACAGCTACCTGATCTTGCCCTCCAACCTAGCCCCGGCGCCTTTGAAATTGCCGGCCTGCATCGTGGCGATGGTAGTATACTTGCGAACATCTGGTTCGTGATCCTCCCTACGTCATGGTGTGCCTGACTGACCCGGGTTCCTGCAGCCCCTCATTCGACCGAGCTTTTCATCGAACCAGGCGACATGAAAGCCGCCGCACGCCTGTACAACCATTTTGCGAAACAAGTGTTGCTTGCAGAACGAGATGCAGACAAGATCGCTTTAACGACACGTGTGATCGCTCTCCCGCACGTTGAAGCCGAGTCCAATGCAGCAGCCGTGCTCAGTGTCGGGTGGGTATTCAAAGAACTATTAGCGGGATTCCCAGGCGGGATTCTTGGATCTGTTCGTCTCTTTCAAGTTCTGTATGGCATTTACCTTGCCGGCCCCGCGAATGCAGGCTGCATCCAACTAATCACTTTCGCGATCATGGCATTGACCGGGGAAATGCAATGTGCGCTGATCTGTGCAGTGTTCGGGCTACTCACTAGCCTCCTGCAAAAGACAGAGAAGATGGAAGAAGAACGAAGAACCCATCCCGGGAATTTGGTCCGGCCAGTGGCGAGTGGCCTCCAACCCGATGGGTTGGCGCGGGCATTTGGGCCGCTGCTGATCAGCGGGTGTGATCGTGATCGTGCGGCGCAACGCTCGGTGGAACAAGAGGTCGAGGAGCAACGGGTAGTGGGGCTGTTACTCGCTCATTGGCGTGGTGTCAGTCGCCAGCTTCGAGAATGGACAGGGGATTCACGGGGGAAGCGGGAGTAGGGGTTTACTTGTTTTCTCGTATTGTTATCCCAGTTCCTCAAGGCTAAGACCGTTGTATAAGCTAGCTCTAGACCTAGCTCCGGGTATAGTGTCAATCGATGGAGAAAGTTCTCCACTTTTCCACCAAAACTTGGTTTCTCAAGCTCCATTCTCCACTCTGATTGGATGGCTTGCGATCCCGGCTTCTCAACTTGGTTGTTGTTGTTTCTCCATGGTGATGTCAACTATGAATCCTATAATAATAAACCTGGTCTGTCATGCTTCATATCCGGTGCTTTTGTTTATATCTTGAATTCCTTTCTTTTTCCTGTTGGGAGAAGAAAGAAAGTCAACCATGCAAGTGGGCGCCAAGCACAACCGGGATGGACCATGGGCGTTTGTCTACTTTCCGTAACACTCTCTTCATCTTGGTCACACCTCCAGAACTTATTATTCGCCCGGATCTGCTGGACCGTAGGAATTCATGTCCGTGGCTCCAACCGGCCGACCGACGACTGGAACTCTTCTTCAGGCACCGGCCTGAAAGCAAGCCGTGGTTTCTCCTTCCCTTTCTTAACTTACTTGACCTCAACCGAGGACACAAACTCCTTGACGCCCGAGACTCTAAACGGAAAGCTGCTTTACTTGGAAACTGAGGGCTTTTTCTTCGATACACAAACACCGGCCATCTCACAACCCCTCTTGTCCTTGCCGGCCCACTAGAACCCGCTTTGAACACCTTGATATGTCGACTGGAAACGTGAATCTTCTGCCTAACGGGTTACCAATCTCAGACCCTCTCAACCCCCTTGGCGCATCGCCTTTCACGGCGACAAACGCTTTCGCGGGCGAGTTTCTAGGCCTTCCGATGCCTGACGAGGAACAATTGTGGGGCCTTAGCCCCATCTCACCAACCCTAGGCACCGGCGGATGGGACGCCAAAGCCGATGCAGCCTTCGCCAGCTCAGCATTGGAACGGGATCTCAAAAATGCCCAGGTCCGCAATGGTCAGCCTACCCCGCCGCCATATGAGGATCAGTATTCGCGCGGATCTGCCGGTCTAGATCTAGGTAGCGCGAGCAAACGGCGCCGAGCCCGGGAGTACCAGACCGCAACGGATAGTCTTAGCCCGGACCTGGATCTGGACGATGCATCGCCCTACCACGAGCGAGCTAAGCGGGCGAAATTTCTCGAGCGAAATAGACTGGCTGCGAGTAAATGTCGACAGAAGAAAAAGGAACACACGCAGATCCTGGAAGTTCGATACAAAGAGCAATCGGAGAAGCGGGAACGATTGGTCGGCGAGATAGCACGACTGCGCTCGGAGATCCTGTGCTTGAAAAATGAGGTTCTGAAACATGCACAGTGTGACGATGAGCCTATTAAACTCCATCTTGCGCAAATGGTGAAGAAGATTACTGATATCGATGGTCCGGCGCCTGTTCCTTCTGCGGGTGCTGTTGCGAACTCGCATGTTGATATCATGGAGACTGCGCCTTCGCCTCTTGCTCCCACTCCGACACCTACTTTGGGTCGATCTGCGGCTGTGTCTCAGACCCCTGCTGCACCGTCGGCGTTATCGTTTGGGTTTGATGATCCGCTACAATTGGAGCCGGCTGCTGCGGCTGCGGCTGAAGCGTTCGAACAACAACTTCGGAGAGATTCTGAGACCTCCTTGGTTACTGAGTCTTCATACGGCTTTTCAGCCGACGATACTTTTGACGATTTGATCAACGTTTGATGAACATGACTATCTCTTTTTCTGTTGCGATGAACCGCGTAGCGGGTCATGACCTGTTCTTGCGATTGATCTATTAGCAACGGCGTTATAAGGTTTTCAAAAGAACTGGGATCTGCTCTATTTTCTTTCTTTCTATCTTTTTTCCCCTCTTATTCTCTGCTGTACTTGATGAAATCCAATGTCTAACGGAAAGACTGGAGGGCGCTTGGTGTTGTAAGGATGGATGTTGTACATCCACAAATCTGGATTCGGATCGCCACTTTTCTTAACTCCCTTACTAGCTGCTCTTGGCTGTCACTCTCTCCCTCGTGTTTCTATTGGCACGCTTTTTGCTTTCCGTACTTCTCGGAACTATCGGCAAAGCTAAGGTTTGTTTGCTGGATTGGAGGCTTTCTTTTGGTTCTCTGTTTATTATGAGTGTTGGATAGGATAGGATTCTTATTCCATTCATAAGTTATAACTGAAATGTATTGCGGTCCGTATGGCCTGTGGCCTAGACCAGCAATAAAGTTTCACACCCAGTGCTTCCTCAAACCGAAATGTATGTCATATTGTCCTAGTAACTCCTCCGAGTGTCAGTTGAATTTGAGCCCTGTCGAAGATCTCCTATCCTGATTTAGCGTTGCAGTCTAGAGATGTACAAACGTTTCACCATTAAGGAGTACATGCATCTTCTTTTTTTTCATTGCACGTGCTTCTTAATACTCTCCACTTTGATAGACTGAAGACTTCCTGCTGGATAATTGGTTGAAACGGAAATCCTCGAAGCCTTGGCCAGAGCCATCAATGTATTCATCCAAGGTCTTACGGATAACTCAACAATGTATGGATTATTGACCACAAGAGAAAGGAGTGGAGAAAAGACTGAGAAAGCGAGTCACGGTCATAGGCTATTAAGACAAAGTAATCAGTTGCTGGAGGATCAAATTATCTGTACTACACCGCTAGCCTCTGTGCCCCTGTGATCTAGATCTTTACACAAAGCTTTGGGGCCCTCGTCTTCTATCCTCAGGTTGGCGGCGCTGTATCCGGTACTTGCGGTACTACCGTTGCTTCAGTAGACGTTGCGGTCGTTGGATTGCAGCTCTTGCCATCTACTTTGTCCTCTGGCTCGCGGTGGCCACACCGAGCACATTTGATGAGCCGATCGCTCTTTGGTTAGGGACTGATTATGGACCAATTAGTTCCAAGCTCAGTTATTATCTGGTTTTATTGATATAGGAGCTGCTATTTCCCTCTAGCTTATACGTGTGCAGAAGATACCGCGGTGGCAAAGACTGGTGCTGATGGTGATCTTGTCAAGTGGAAAGCTGAGTTCAGGATGATTGATCAAGGCACTAGGCTTGGAGCAGGAGCCATTTAACTCAGTGGCTTGCGCTCTAAGTCCCGTAGCTTAATCGATCTCTTCTTGGGCAACCCACCCGCCCAACATGGATATATTTCCATTCACCATAACCACAGCTCTATATAGGTATAATGATCCTTATAGCAACTGGATTGGGCCTTCTAGTAAGCTATACAGTCCCTCCAATAGTGAGCCCCCTTCCGCAGATATTAGATGTAGCTATCGCTGTATTACGACCATAGCTCAGATAAACATGAAAGCTTCATGACGTAGATGCGGGGCTCCCGAGACTACACATTCGGGTGCCTGAGGTTTACCGAGTTCTCAAATTGATCGAGATGATGTATGCAAGGTGTGCACTTGGTATGCACTTCGAATGATGATTGTATAGTGGACAAAATTGAAGAAAAGATTGCGAGTAGCTACGTCATACATAGCGACGGACTCCCTCCCGATACTCAGACTTTCGTCTCCTTAGGACTAGAATAGCATTCGAGAAGCAACCTTGAAATGGATCAAAGCTTACATTGCATAGTAGAGTAATGATTGATCATATATGACGCCTGATTAATGGAAGTGATCAGCTACCTACATAGAGATGCAGTGGTTATGATAATGCGGAGTGAATAGATCTTCCTGATCAATGTGTAATATATGCAGTGATAGTCAATTGTTTTCATTCTTCCAAAGAACAATACTATTTCTTTTTTCTTTTGTTTCGCCCGTGAGCTGAATTTATGGATAAGATGCCACCTATACACCTCCTGGGCGCCGCCTACGATATAAGATTAATCTATAGGGAAAATGTTCCAAATTAGAGGTTCCAAAGTTGACTTTGGCTCCCGAAAAGATATACCCGAAAGAAAATCAAATGTTTAGTTGAATTGAAGAGCTAGCAAAAGGGAGGTGGATCGCCTAGGAAAGACTTGTGGTGTTACAGCTTTTGCCACATATGCACCTGCAGACCACGCTACTTGAGGGGTGTCTGACATACCGTACTCCCCTGATTCAGCCCTAATACACTGCCTTTCATGGCGATTTATACAGTTACACTAGTAGGAGATCAATTTTTATGGATATGATCAATATGTTTCCTTGCCTAGTCTCCAAGTAGAGCGTATAAATCTAGGATGCAGGGGTTGCGAATAGTTATCTATACGATCATGATAGTTATGTTCGTCGATACTGGAAGCAACATTCAATAATGTAACGCTAGAGCCTTCTTGCGAAGCCTTCTTGTGAAACACTATATGCATAATTCAGGTAGCTAAGGAGTCAGCCCCTAGGTGGCTGTCAACACACTCTTCATGGGGTTTTTATCTGCGGAGACCTAAAACCCTGCCTCGATCGACCTCGCGTTTTGCAGTAAATGTCCACAACAAAAGCCTTTACCAACTCAAAGACGCGATTACTCACGCTTCTTATCCTCCCACTTGAGCTGGCCTTGGCCGATCAAGATCAATGAAGTCTTGTACCAGATCCAAATGAACAAGTCCGGGTTGAGCATCATAACATAATGAAAACTTGGTTCGTACCATGCTTCTGTGCTGGGGTATACTTGCGATACCTAGCTGAGCAACACGACTCTCGGAAATCGTTAGCTCATTCGATTATTAAAGTCAAAGTAATGTTTGATATTGATACTAAGGTATTCCTTAAGGCGCTGACCAATCTCCAGCACCACATTTTTAAAAATCAGTATCGCAGCGCTTGGTCCTTCCTGATCAAAACGACTGGTTGGTGAATTCTGTGTTCATGGTGATTGGAACCTGGACTGCTCTTGCCATAGTCGTTCGCTCGAAGACAAAGAAAGATTATCCAAATGTGTAATATCCTTTATCTGTTTATTCTTTGTTGAAATCTAACAGATCCTGACACATAAATTTGGAATGACGTTGAAAGTATATATCAGATCCTTGATCCAGCTTATAGTTATACTCTCCCGAGGTCGTAATGCTGGAATATCGTTACTGTACTACTGAATTGTTGTAATCAGTTTAGAGGGGAACATTTAAAATGGTGTTAAACTACTTCTTTTTACTTTAGACCCGATACACAAGCAAAGATGAGGAGTCCCAGAGCAGCAGAGAATCAGTGTAAACAACTTGTGACGAGTCCGGTATAGTGGACGGCGATGTTTCAGTGTAACCTCAGGTATGGCCAAGGGACCTTGGAGTCTGAGACGATAGCTCACAATTTTCAAGGTTTGCTCGGAATGCTTTCAGTATGCGGGAGTGACTCTCAAACCTTTATCTGTCCCGCTCAAGATGGGCTATGATTTGTTGAATCGAGCCCATGTATGCACTCATCTGCAGCTCTATATGCAACTTTCAGCTCTGCAATTGCTCTATGATGCGTAAGTTCTTAGATCCAAAAACTTTACCCCTCGTTTGGATTGGCCTGTTTAAACTCCTAGCTAAACTTTTTTTCGCCCCAACAAAGGTTTTTCAACACCAGTGACTGAGACCTATCAAGACCTCCATTTTCATTTCTGTCTCATAATGACAAGTGTCTCGTCCAAGACAAGTCTTCAGAGCTATGTAGCTAACCCTATATAATAGGCATCCAGTGTGGAGATCAGTGAAAAGTGCATCTCAACATGCAAGCAGATAGCGCAGCGCACTCTCACATATGCCATCTACAACTTGGATAAGGAAAATGCTAAGATTATTGTGGAGAAGAGCTCCACCGGAAGCTATGATGAATTTGTCAATGATCTACCCCAGGACGAATGTCGATGGGGTGTTTTCGACTTGGAGTTCAAGTCCAAGTTAGATGGAACCGATCATAGCAGAATGCTTTTATTTAAATGGTATGTTCATTTTATCGCCCGTTTCAGCAACTCTCAAGTTGAGAAATTGATTAATGACCGGGTTTTGAGGTCACCTAGTTCAGCGGGGATCAAACAGAAGCTTGATCTCAATAAGGAAACAGATGCCTTGAAGGAATCGCTCACTGGGGTAACTGGGGTTATACAGGCAACGGATTACGATGACATTGACCATGAAACTGGTATGTCCTCCATGAACAAGAATAAACCCCCGCTCTACCCATGAATAACTGTTATGAAGTGTTGGGAAAGGTGGGAGGCAGCAACGAGTAGTAGCGAGCGAGTAGAGCCCTATAGGTAGATCAGAAAGAGGAAGAATTAATATTCAGGGTTTCGGTCCTCTCTTCGAATTCATTTCATCACCTCCATGGGTTGTAGCTACGTCCTGCTGACGACACCGATAAGAGGTCAAGGGGAGTCTTGAGTGAGCACGCCAATCGACGGTCTTGACCACCCGGTTCTATGGGATATTGCGTTTTGCATGATGGGAGTATCTTCAAGTTGAATTATGTATACGCTGTATACGTCAATCTTAGTGGATAATTGTCAATTAAATTGCCTCGACCTGGTTTAATCCGAGCTGTAGATGATGTAAATGTGACTTTCTCAATCTCTCTCTCTCTCTCTCTCTCTCTCTCTCTCTCTGTCTTGATTGTAGTAATTGCATACTGTTCATCGCCGCTGAAATTGGATCTGCAACGGTGGCAGCGTAGTTGTGAATGTATCCAGCGTCTCAGTCTCAAAAGCATGGCCAGTCTCACCAGGTGCAAACTTAACATCATAACGCTGTACCAACTTGGAAACCGAAATGCGAAGACTCATCAACGCCAAATTCTTTCCAGGACAGATGTAAGGACCTAGTAATGATCAGCTCAAACATCCTGCGCGCATATCCGCAAGTCTCAACTTACCAATTAGGAACGGGAAGAAAGGAGCTCCCTCCTGCACCATCTCCTTTTTCTCATGCCATCGCTCTGGAATAAACGCCTTGGCATCCGTGTAGTAGCGCTCATCAGTCTGGATCAGCTGAGTGGGGACAAAAACGTTCACGTCTCCAGGGATAAAAACCTCATCCACTTGGAGTCCTTCAGCAGGCGTAACACGGAATCCCCCCTCCATCACCACAGGCCGCAGTCGAAGTGTCTCGTTGATCACATCTTCAAGATAGGTAACACTCTTGGCTTTCTCGTAAGACCACTCGCCAGATCCACCGGGCATAGCCTCATCCAACAGCCGCTGCAGCTTAGCGAGAATTACAGGATTTTTCGCGAGGTAGTATAGTATTGACGCCAGCGTCGTGGCCGTAGTATCACTGCCGGCAACAAGCAAAGCGCGTGAATCCTCATGGAGCGCATTGGGAGTAGGTGCTGCCGAGACGTCTTTCTCGACGTATGCTTTCAATAGCCATGAGACCACGTCTTGTGGGTACTCATTGACATCCCAGGTCTGAATTCGATCAGTAGATAACCTCAAGACCAGGCGGGCGTTCGATGGTGACAAACCTTCTGCTTCTGCACGATTTCATCTTCGCACCATTTAAAAAACTCGGCTAACGAGGCCGCTGCGCCTGGAATCCGACTGGCGATATTCAACAGCCATGGAACATGGGCCCCGACTCCTACAATAGCCATGTGATCGTGGACGGCTTTGATACCTGGATGCTCGACTCCAGTGGCGAGGTTGTTGAATTCTTTTCCGAATCCTACGATTCCCATGATGTCGAAGCTGAGGAACATTGCCCAGGTGCTGATATCGATTGCTTGGCCTAGAGTCTTTTCCACGTGGGAGACGAACTGGTCTGCCTTGGCCCCGACAATCGGCTCATAAATTGCAAGAGCTGCGAGTTTCGATTGTCAATATGTAGGGTCATATGAAAGAAGCAGGATGAAGCTGTTTCCCTCACCTTTAACGCTGAACCCACGATCCCAAGCCTTTCGACGTCTGCGGTGGTCATCATGATCGCGTGATTGGTTGACATTGCAGTATTTGGACTCGGTTTGTGCTTGGGCGTAGAATGTTGATTTGCCGCATTTGGACTGTGGCGAGAAGAGTAGTGGTATTGCTGATTTGCGAACGATGCATATCTCACGTGGTCCTGGTAGAAACTCACCCATCAGCCTGAAAAAGCCTTCGCTACGCCGTTCTTGCAAACCTACCGGTCCTAATAAAATCTCCATAGGTCTTGTGCAGTCTCTCGAGTTCCACATTATATTGCACATTCTTTCCAGCGAGGTAGGCATCATAGAAACGGGAGAGCTTGGATAGCGTGGGACCAGGGAAGCGATGCAGACGGTGGAAAAATAAGCGATAAACCCCAATACTCGATGCAAGACCTGTATTAAAGCCGGATGTAATTACACCCACACGGAACAAGGCTTGTATGAATGATAGATCCGTGATAGACAGGTAGGCAACTCCGATCGCGACAGTGGTCGTGACGTACAGAATGAGGAGGTGATCCAAGTATTCCTCGACTGGTAAACTGCGGAAGATAGAAACATGAGACAACACTCCAAAGGTCGCAGCTGACAGCCCGAGACTGACGATGTCAGTACTCAATGTTTGTGCGAGTATTTCGACTGGAAGTGAAGACATGGTGCAAGCTGAGATTGATGACCCCGCAGAGTAAGCACAAAGAAGAAATTATTCTTCGGATACCGTGTGTGTCTCAAATATAGGCGACCTCCCCTCGGTGCATAAGACCTCTCTCATAATAATCCACAACGTGGCTGGAGTGATTGGCTAAAGATTAACTCATATCCCCGAACAATCAAAAGTGGACACGATTTGGCTTGGACGGAGCTTATGCTTATGCCTCTAAGTTTCGCAGTGCGTTAGACTGCCCCGTCTGACAGACTCTGAATGATACATTCGTCGTGTCTCCATTAGTGGACACGGGCCGGACGCCATCGCGTGGGGGCCAAAGCCCCCATGGTGGATCAGGCGTTAATGATCGAGCCATCTGATACATGAGTCAAAAGCAGGATCCTCATTCTCAATAGCGCGAGCTTCAATCGAAGGATCGTACGCGACGATTGTGGATCCTTTGGGAGGTTGGTTAGCTGGTACCTGGCGGGGAAGGATTCATTGGAGCCGATTGGGATATTTCATTATCGCTGTTTATCCCTGTAAGGCCAAAGTTCCCGAAGAAGATTAGTGTGAACTGATTTTTAGTGGAAGCTTAGTATTAAGGCTATTTTCTCTTTCGCATTTCACTCCGCTATGGAACAGGTCAATGACTATGCCTTCGTCTCTCGCCAAAGACGAGCTTTCAATTGACTGTCAAAGCAACGATGATCATGTGTGTAGCTCTCCTGGCGATCGAATTCGCTGTTAGCTTTTCTCCAGACTCGGCCCTGGGCCGCGTATTTTCATCCGGAAAAGGCAGCTGTTCAGGCTTTGTATGAATCACATTTGCATGTGCATAGTAAATGTAACTTAGTTCATGTGCTCTACGTGATTTGTCTGTAGACAAATGTGAATCAACTCAGTTGTTCTCAAGGTTCTCTTCAATCGATGTGACTCCGAGGTCCTGATACATATATTGCATAGCCTAATCAGATTTCTGCAATCGCAAATAACGCTTGAAGATCCCTAATTTCTCGGCATCTTAGAGTCAGCCATACCTAGACGAGCAAGCCAGTCAATTAAAGCCCTTGGAACCTTCATTGAACAACCAAATCTTAAAGCACGAAATAAACCTAGAAAATGTACTGTATCAAATGTTCTAGAAACGCCAAGCGTTGTTTATCGCAACCTTGGAAAGGCGGTGAGTTTAATCCGTCGCATCTAAATATTGACATCGTCATTCCGAAGGCTATCTCCAATGGCCATCCACCCCAAACCTTATTACAATCGCGTCCAGCCAACCCAGCAAACAACATACATTTGAACGCTCAGAAGTCTAACTCAAGGAACCAATCAAATAACTGGAATCCCGCAAAATGGTATTTGAACCCTCTGAAACCCCGCGGGTTTGAACATCTCCCATCGAATCATTGCCCGGCACTAACACCCTCACGACAGAGCAAAGACTCCTCCTCAACATACCTGCATATGCACCATCCCCGCCTAGCAGATTTTTTCGAGGAATTCACGCGCCCGCATACCTCAACAGCCTCATCCACAAACCAACAGTTCATCGCAAACAACCAATCTAATAACGCAACCTCCTCTTCCCCCTCCACTATCCCCTCATTCTTGCCCATCGAAGACATTTACGTTCAACCGCAACACCAACCACCAAATCCCGAAGATGAGGACGACGTCGTGCCGGATCAGCATGCTGCATTTGGAATAACTCGAGCTATGGATCGAAGACGAGATCCGGTTTGGCGTGATCTTGGGCTTGAGGCGTTGGTGAATGGGCAAGGACACGGTGGGGTGGCTGTGTCTGCTAATTCTGCTGGAGGGACGGGTGCTGCCGGGGGCTCAGGGCCGGCAGCTACGTTGAGGGGGACTGGTGGGGGTGCGGCGTCGGCGATGTCGTCTGTTGTTAGGGTTAGTCATGCTGGGCGGAGGATGGGTGGGCGACGAGTTGTTTGTTTGCGGTGAAGAGCCTTGAAAGTTGTTGATTTTCATGAAATGGCATTACTGGTGTTCTATTGGGTGGGAAGGTTTACATTTCAAGGTTCGCGGAGTTATGGGGATCATACGCATGGGCCTTTTCGTTGATTCATTGCATTGGTATTGTCTCTCTGGACTATCATGAATAAATTCCAAAGGCTGGGTGTGATTTACACCGCCGGACAATTACGCCTTTCAACGCCGTGCATAACATATGCTAGATAGTTGTACAAATCCTGACACCCTAGATCCGGTTGATATCTACTCGGGCACGTTCGTAAAGCTTGTGGTCGAGTTGCTTCTCCTCGCGTTCTGCCTCTGGGATTGCTCGGGGATGCAAGGCCAGCTGGGCATATGTGCCCGGAGCACGGCGCTTGGACAAGGTGCCCGGATTGATCACGAGTACACTGTCGACAACCTGCAGATTATTGTGGTTAGAATGGCGACATAATGTAGTGAAAAGATGGGATGACATACCTTGGCGAAAGGCGGAAGCATGCTGGGGACAATTAGTATGTCTGGTCGAACATTCCACCATTCACCCAATTTCATGTATGGCACATCCAGCATGGCCCCTGTACCAAGACCAGTGGCCGTCTTTGGGAGATTGGCGCGTGCAACAGAAGGGAATAGAGGGAAGAAGTGTCGTTGTTCAACTAGGTACTTGGGTAAACGAGTGAGCAGGTTACCTTCGCTGAGCCTGCCGTGTAAGACTTCCTCGCGGCGCAGCTCCGAGAGTACATCGTGTGAGCACATACCAACAACGGTCTCGTTGAAGGATAGTGTCACGGGGTTGGAGACCATCCGAACTTGTTTTGGCAAGCCGAGGTCTTTCTTGAGCAGCTGTTCTTGCGGCCACGAGACATGGCGGCTCAAAGCGTCGCGTACAGATGGCACGCAAACAACTATGATGCTGGGGACGGCTGCTACCAGTCGTGCCAATGGTGTTGAAATAAGGTGTCGGAAGATCGTAGTTAGGGTTGCGGTATCCGGGTCAAGGCCTTTGATATCTGGGAGATCAAAGTCTCCTGTTGCGAGCAGAGGATGCTCGACATCTAAGAATGGGCCAAGGAGTATAAGACTGTCCGCGTAGCTGTCTGCAGCCTTCCGACATAGCTCCTGGAGAGGCTCAAAGTCCAAGTTGTCGTCTGCTGTATACGGCCCCGCTGCTACCATGACATTAAGTGGCAAATTGCCCGAACTTTCCAGACGCTCGTTGATATTATCAAGAGCCACTGCCGGGGAGGCAGCAGGGGGCAAGAGAGGAATAGGGAGAATCTCCTTGACTGTGAAGTATTCGCCCGAAGGGTTGATTCCTCGAAGAGCGACAATCTGACCGGGGAAAAAATTCAGGCCCGGCACCGAATCGATCTTCAAGGGAACTCTCCTGCCTGCCCCAGTCCTGCGTGAAGTCTCGAGAACCAGAGACGCGGTGTTGAGTCTACCTTCCATTGAATCGGAGGCAATACGACCGACAGCAATAATCTCACTTGTGCTTTGGGTAGCGGCGCTTCCAAAGGTGATTTCATCAGAGTCATAATGCTTTTGGAAAATAGTCGTAAATTCGTCGATACGGTCATCGAGAATCTCAGATGATTCCGATAGTCTCATTCCCATTGGCTTGTATCCGAATTTCTTGAGGTCTGTGTTGGCGGTGGGCCGAATACGCGCTTCGGAGAACGGCGCCATTGGGGTTTCTGGTAGAGACAGATGCCCATTGAGTGTCTCTAGTGTTTGTCCGGCGTTCGGTCTGTCGGCAAAGGAAACAGGGCTGCCATTCATGTCAGTGGTCTCAATCACCAATATAATTTTTGCGTACGACGTACGGCCCAATCCCATTACCAGGCGCCAAAGAACCAGGTGTTTTTGCACCGCTTGGCGTTCCAGCATTGTCCATCCGTCCCACCTTTGGTGTTGCAGGGGATGTGAATTCGGCCTTGCGCTTCGTTGCGGAGCCGTTGATTCCGACCATAGATCGAGCATTTGACGCATTGGGGGTCAAATCGCCTAGCCTAAGCAGTAGAGTAGTCAGCAATTTGCCTGAAAGATTCAATGTAGTCCCTCCCATACATCCCAAACATATCACCACCCGCCGACGCACGCGGGGTTGCCGTCATAGCGTTCCTCTTCTCGTGTTGTCGTCCAGCTTTGCCGCGACTTTCACGCTCCAAAGCTTCCTGAATGTCCTGTTTCAATGCACGAATCGAAGTCATATTCAGTTTGACCTCGTCGCCCATCTTCATGCTGTACGATTCCCATTTGTAGAAAACCTCCTCCGCGGTGATCGAGTGTATCCGCATGATGGACTGGAGCTCGGCGAGAACATCTTTGGGAAGGCCATCGGGACAAGCTGCAGCAAAAAGCTCATTCAGCTCGGCTGTGACGTCCATGGTGGGCGAAGGTGTATCGAAAGTGGTGTCAAGCTTACAAGCCAGTGACTGATCGCAATAATTGAGAGTTTAACTCCGCGACGCGAGACGCGTGAACGTGTGGCTGACATAATCAGGAGAGGATTGGGTAAAATTAAACTGAATTGAGATGCAAAGTGGAGACGATCTCGGGATTGTTTCTAGCTATCCGCGCCCGCAATTGTGTCCTCCTTGCGTTTATCCAATTTCGTTCCAATCCGATTCCCATCATGCCAGCCAATGAGTCCACAGAGGTCGTGGCCCCTGTGCCCGCAGCTACCAATGGCGATATGAAGCCCGAAGCTCCCGTCGCTGAGAAGCAGACCGAGACCCCCAAGACGGAGGATGATTTTCCCAACTCCGCCGCGGACGGTCTGATCAAGAAACCATTCGCCCACCCTCTCGAGACCGCAAAGGCCGTGAAGCCGGCGGAATTGACTGCAGACCAGCAAGCCAAATATGAGACCGTTCTCAAGGCCGTCTCCGAATGGACCACTGTGCCGAACACATCTGAGAAGAACGCCCCAACAGCCCCGATCACCGATGACGAACGTATGTGGATGACCCGCGAGTGTCTCCTCCGATACCTTCGTGCCACCAAGTGGAATACGACAGAGGCCGAGAATCGGGTCAAGCGCACTCTGACCTGGCGCCGAGAGTATGGCATGGAGAAGTTGACCCCCGACTATATCTCCATTGAGAACGAGACTGGTAAACAGGTCATCCTGGGTTACGATAATAACGGTCGCCCGTGTCTGTACCTCCGTCCTTCCAAGCAAAATACCGAGAAGAGTGAGCGCCAGATCCAGCACTTGGTCTTCATGCTCGAGCGAGTCATCGACCTTATGGGTGCTGACCAGGAGACACTGGCACTTGTGATCAACTTTGGTGAATCCAAGTCTGGACAGAACGCCTCAATTGGCCAGGCAAAGAGTACCCTGGACATTCTGCAGAACCACTATCCCGAACGATTGGGACGTGCTCTAATTATCAACTGTAAGTGGCGCCAAACTTTGGTGCTAACATATCTAATATTTCATAGCACCGTTTTATGTTTGGCCATTCTTCAAGATCATCACGCCTTTCATTGACCCAGCGACCCGGGAAAAACTCAAGTACAATGAGGACCTACGTAACCACGTACCTGCCCAGCAGCTCTTGAAATCCGTCGGCGGTGATGTTGAGTTCGAGTACGACCACTCCGTTTACTGGCCCGCCCTCAACAAGCTGGCCGAGCAGCGCCGTGAAGCCAAGCGTGAGCGCTGGGTTCAAGGTGGCAAGCAAGTTGGTGAGCTTGAGAACTACCTCAAGGGCCAAGATATTCCCAGCGCGTCGCAGGGTGCTAGCGCCAAAAACTAGATTCCGAAGCGCCAATTACACCTCTTCTATCCATGTCGTTTCTTGATGGCCGCCTTTTTTACATTTTTCTTCGATTTGGCCTCATTCCCCCTTTCGCATTTCGGGCTCATTGCTTCTATTTTGTATTTGCGGGAGTATATATCGTGTCACATTGTACTTGTTGATAGATAGCTTCATTAGATTGCAGATACAGATAGACTAGACACTTAATTCATCATAGATCAACGGTCATGTGATCCACATAAAGTACCCAGGCAACCTTGGAACTGAACATCCCAATTCACGCAGCTACGTACCAACACGCCACCGGAAAAGTGGGTCCGAAGAAACAAAAGCACAGCCCTGGGGGTAGCTCTTGCCCCAAAAGGGACAGCTTGCTAACGTTCGGCACCCGAAACCCGAACGGCTCAGGCTAGAGCTCCCAAGCAAGCCGTGCTTGTGGAGTACACCAGACATGAAACACACGGTGGACCGTTGACCATCGCAGTTGAAAGCACGGTCTAAGAACCGGCTCGAGTCAGAGCTGATGCGGGACAGGATGGACCAGCCCAACGGCGCCAGATCCAGTGGAGTGGAGCATAGACCAGGTGTGAAATCAGGAACTGAAATGTCCTGGCTAGCTTGGCTGAGAGGATACTTACGGAACAAAGTCGGTATACATGGCTATGGCCTGTAGCTACATAGCTCTAAAGCTGCAATCTAAATTCCTTCAGAGCAGCGCCAAGGGCCCAAGTACCAAAATTCCTCGATCATGCATATGGGCAGCTTGGATGATGCGTTGTCCATGAGCTGGAAGTGGATCCGGCATGAACGATGATCGATTTATCCTTCATATCCCGGCGAGCACGAGACCTGATTCTGGAGCCCCATCGGCCCTAGGATAGGCGAGGGTCATGCAGATCTACTTGCGGTGTGGTTTGTCCTACTCTCTCCATTACGACATTTGACATTAGATGTTGTCCCTCGTCTCACGGCATGTTTTAATTCTAACCAATTAAGAAGTGCAGGAGATGAAATCCAGGGGCTGTGTGACCTGAGGCTTCAAACATAATGTCGATCTTACGCGGACGAACTTATTTCAGCTGTTCAGGCTGATGAACGCCTCAAGAGACGCTGCAGGGACTTATGCAGAGGGAATGAGAGGGAATGTGAGCTGTGAGATGATCCTCTTGCATATCCCTAAATTGGGTACACGTGGTCATGTGAAGAACCGAGGCTTTG